GAAGCAAGGGCGAGACAGGCGCGTCATCGCGAGGCTTGGGCGTCTATCGGTGTGGCCGCGAGTCGCGTCCGAGAACGCGCTCTGCACCTCTCCCGACGCCGCTGCGAGCACTCGACGCCGCTCCTTCGACCTCAAGTCCACGATGATGTCCGGGAAACGCGGAGTCTCACAGCGCAGCCTGCGCCCCCACCCAGCCAGAGCCCTCTCACCAGCCAGCCAGCCAGCCCAGCCATTTTCCTCTGCGTACGCCTGCGCCTAGCGCTGCCCTCTGCGCCCACCACAACACACCGCGACCACCACCTGCCCCCCGCCCACACTTGTTAGAGGTGCGTACGAGTGCTCATTGCGCGTTATCCGATGCTCGCTCGCGATCGATCCGTGTGCGCTGTCGTCGTCGCCGACGCGCAGGCGGCGCGGGGCGGCGCGTCGCGCCCAGACGCGTCCAACATGCACGCGTCGCAACCGTGTCGACGACCTCGCCGCGCTTCCACATTGCTCGGGGACGTGTTGGATGCCCTGCTCATACACCTCCTGCCCTTATAGATGCCGAAGGAGACCACCAAGACGACCAAGGTGCGCATATGTCCACTTCTGCCCGCATATATGCGTTCCCCCACCTCGGGGCCGCCGTATGTGCACTGAGCGGTGCTGATTGAGCGTTCTATTCGCAGAGGAGGGCGGCCACGAAGCAGGATAAGGCGCCGAAAGCGAAGGGAAAGAAGGACCCGAAGGCACCCAAGCGGGCGCTGTCCGCATACATGTTCTTCAGCCAGGACTGGCGGGAGAGGATCAAGGCCGAGAACCCTGACGCCGGTTTCGGTGAGTGCTCGTCCCCGTTGTCGTGGGATGTTCAGTTACTGATAAGACGCGTGTGATAGGTGAAATTGGCAAACTCCTCGGCGCGAAGTGGAAGGAGCTCGACGACGACGAGAAGAAGGTATGTTCGTCGTGTACAGTGGGTGTATGCGGTACTGATCTATCTCATTACAGCCCTACCTCGACCAGGCCGCGGCCGACAAGTCGCGGGCCGAGGAGGAGAAGAACGCTTACGACGTACGTACTCGCGTTCATCAGAGCTTTTGTCCGCTGCTTACGTTTTTTCGCAGGGCAAGAAGGCCGACAGCGGTAGCGGTGACGGGGACGACGACGACGAGTGAACAATACCCCCACTCCGCCTCTGTATATGCGTCCCTCTGTGTTTATCCTGTGTGTATGGCTGCTAGATACTCCGCGTCTCCGTCTCGTCTCGCTTCGCTGCTTGCTGCCCGTATATTACTCAAAACCGTAGGACACTCCGCCCCCTCTCGACCTCTCGTTCGTCTCGTTCTATGTACTGTTCTTCGTACTTCGCTAGTCGTATGGCTTCGTCTGCGGGTGCATGCGCGTGCGCGCGTCGCGTCCGTTGTATCACGAACGACGTCCTGTAATACTAGACGATGATGGTGTACTTGTTATGTTCGGTTTAAATTATATGAAATCTTCTCTCTGCACGCGCGCGATCCTCAATGTAAACTATCCAACCCGTGCGCACATGGCCGACGATATTCCCTTGCGACGAAGTTCAACATGGTTGGAAAGCAATCAGCACGCGGTACCCCGCAGTGGCTGCCAGTGCCAGCACAGCTGGATGCGGCACCGGAGCGCTCATGCGGGGAAGCGGATCAATCCTGTGATTTACCTCCGTCCTCCGGTTCCGGGCGATCTGTCGGAATCCAGGAGGAACTGCGTTGCCCGTGACGTCGATTTGCGCCCTCAGAGTTTCTCTCGTCCATCGAGCAGCGGTGAGAAGTCCAGCATGTTCTCTCTCGTCCTTTGCCTTGTTGTGGACACTTTGATGGTAAACCATGGGCTACGAAGGTGCCATCTTCTTCGACACATACACCGCATACATCGACGAGGTGTGCACAAGCTGAGACGAAATCGTAACCCTGTCGTTGGCTACTACACCAGCGTTTACTCTACGGTTGGGAATAACTGTGACTTCGACAGCATGGGCAAAGGTCAGTACTACGTACCCATTTTCAGTATAGCAACTGAAGACATAAACACTAGGTAAAGTCACAGGCATGCGAGGCGGTCATAAGTTGGCAAACTTGGCAAGTTAATTCTAGTACGGCAACGAAACTCATGTCGATGGACTCGAGAGTCTCTCGTCCAACAGATTCCTCTGGATAACTCGAAGAGCGGGGCAAGGGTCTCGTGAAAAGTGGCTGCACCGAGTCTATCAACCTGTGCGTCTCTGCGAGTCTCAGCGCAGCCCATTCACCTGAATGCACACACATTGTATGGGCGATGGTGCGTATGCCATGCTTGCTTAATTGAAGTTTCCAGACTGATACAGAGTTACCTCTTATTATAGCAATGATACCGAGCAGGGCGGCCCCGTACAGTGCGGGCTTGGATGCACGCTTGCGTCGACGACTAAGCTTCCTTGCCAACCCGCCACCTACCCTTCTTCTACGATCGTACTGGCTATGAGCCTGTTCGATGCCTGAAAGCACCGATGTGCCAGTGTATCGCAGGGAACGTGCCTTGTCGCCGGTAAGCGATCCTATCGACTATCATCGGTCCTGGATGCTGATACGGTAATGTGAGCAGGTTTTATTCTCTCGATATACCACCGCGGACCGGGCTCGAAGCTTGAAGCTTGAATCTACTTTTAGAAGCCTTCCGGTGCCTGTGGCAGCGTTGGGGTCGCACTAAATGCGGGTCAAGGATTTCCGTGCAACGTGGAGTACCCATGAGGATCGTACCTCTCAAGAGTACCGCATCGTTCTGCGGTCTGAGTCCACAGACCTGACAACCAATCTGGTCGCACGCAGTGATCGCGCCCACACAGGGAGAGAGGGGGAGCCTGTAGGGCGGGGCGCCCTCAACTCGATCACGGGGGACTCACAAGGATGGGGATGAGTCGATATCCTCCAATACTCGACTCGTGATCGTCGGGTTGCATATATAGCAAGCACATAAGCACGGCAGCGCAGCGGAGGATGTGCTCTGAGGGTTCCACAGAGTGCTGTCATCTTTGGCAGATATGATATAAATTACAACAAATAACCTAAAACCATACGAGAAAAAAGGTCACGCGAAGTGAATGCCAGCGTCGTGGAACGCTGACAACAATCTACAAAATTCTGTTAGTAAAGTTGATATCCATACAGCTCGATTTGACATACTTGAGTAGGTCGTTGATGTCCATCTTTGCCGCTCGAGACTCGGAGAAGCCGGTGTCCAGGAGGACCTGATCCACCTTCTCCTTGAAGTTGAAATCATCCTCGATCATCTGCGAGGAGCGTGAGCCAACCTGCCGTCAGACGTCCCATCTCCAACGTACCACATCGTTCACCGAAGCCCAGGTCTTCCAATTACTTTCAAGCATCTCTAGCACGCCCTTGGCTTGGAAATTGGCGTGTATGTGCTTATTCCGCCGCCCGAAGATAATACGCCCCAGACCGTCAAACTCCGCAAACTCAACTGGGGGAGGCGGGTCGCGCGGGACGAGGCGCACGACGCTGCTCTCGACCTTCGGGGGCGGGCGGAAGTTGTTCTTGCTGACGTGCATGACGAGGTCGACCTTTGCGTACAGCTGCACATTCGCGGAGAGGCGCGACCAGAGCACGGAGCCGGGCGTCGCGACGAGGCGCGTCGCGAACTCGCGCTGGAACATGAGCACCGCGACGCGGAAGATCGGGCGGTGCGAGAGAAGGCGGAAGACGAGCGGGGAGGAGATCTGGTAGGGTGTGTTGGAGATGCAGACGTCGAAGTAGGGCAGTTCGGCCTTCACGAAGTCGCCGATGATGATTTCGAGCTTGCGCTGCTCGGGCCTGGGGCGCGCGGGGTTAGCGCGCTGGGATGTGTAGGAGATGGTGCAGGTACGCACTTTCCCTGCACACGCTTGGTCAATTCGGCTGCCATCCGAGGGTCCATCTCCACTGCGGTGACATGTTTTGCTTTCTCGAGGATGCGTACTGTCAGGTTACCCGTACCGGGACCGACTTCAAGCACCTTGTCTGATGGTCGGAGACTTGCCTGTGCATTGATATCTTCGGTCAGCATGGTGCTATGCAACACAGAGAGACGGGGGTTGCTCCCGCCTCCTAGTGAAGTATTTGGAATCTACTCACGGTGTCCACTATTCTGCGTACCGCGCATGTCAGCGCGAGATCAAAGAGCGCACGACATTACACGCACGATTGAGCAGTTTGAGGGTTCTTGAGGATATGCTGGCCGAACCGCTCCGTATTGAAGATAGGATTCCGGGCTGCTGCAGAGGAGCCGGACGCCTCAGATGAGGACGCTTTTGCTTTCGCCGACGGCTGGTGTGCGCGTGTGAAGCGGTCAGATGTTGCTCGAGGCATTTTTGGTGGCAATTAGCAGTAAGAGAAAACCAAGTAGTGAGTGCGAGAGCGGCAAGGAGGAGAAGGTCTCTTGAACGAGTGTGGGCAGGCTGAGCGCAATGCGCCGCATTGCGCGAAAGAATTTGTGTCCCCGATCTCGATCAGGTACCACGTGTATCTGCCGCTATTTGCCGGTACCCCGCATTTGGGCCGTCGGCGCTACGGCAACTTGGAACCTCTCGCTGTGCCGCACCACCATCATCTCCAAAAGCTCTCCAACTTCGTGTGATGTCCTCTTTTATCGGTGAAGACGCTGTGAAGAGGGGCGGAGAGGATTGGTTTATTTATGGTGACCTGACGTCAGTGTGATATACCTGGAAGAGCCATTTGTGTATATAAACCCTCCCCCTCACCAAGGATGGTCCTCACCAAGTACCCCGCCAACCTCTACAACACAACTTCCGCCGAAAGCTTGACATTCACCTACAACTCGCACTCGGAATAACCTCCCGCTATGTCTTCGACAAACTTCGGTCACATCTTCCAGGTCGCCCAACAGGACGCGTCTCACTACGGCGCTGCACCGGTCAACCTGAAGGACATCTCCGAAGGTACAGTATTTATACCATTCCTCAATTCCTTCATCTGTTCTGATTGTTTCCTTATAGCCGATGCTCGTAAACTCATCTCTGAGGAGCACAAAGCTCTCGGCTACCGTCCGCCCCCAGGCTCTCTCGCATCACAGGCACAAGCACTTGTTGCACGACACGAGACCTCCCATGCGGAGGACCACGGCCTCACTCTGGATGAGGAGCAGATCAGGGAGGCGGCTCTCCTCGATGCTGAACGTATCAAGAAGGAGAGGGAGAGCACTTTGTTAGACCTCAACTCCGTTGGCGCAGGTATGTACAACAAAAGGTAGCTGTCGGGTGCTTACACTGATTCTCATGTGCATAGCTGAGGCCAAGAAACTTATGTCTGATGAGCACAAAGCACTTGGCTACCGTCCTCCTCCCGGCTCGCTCGCCGCGGAAGCGCATGCCGCTGCGGCTAAACATCCAGATGCCTCCGCGAACGTAGACTCTACTACGCTTGTGAAAGCTGCGTTCGAAGATGCGACTCATATCGCATCAAGTAACGGTGGGACACAGCACATTGATGTGCAGAACATGGGTGCAGGTGCGTAGCTTCCCTTCGCACCACGCGAAGCACGACGTTGACGCCTACCTGCATTCCCAGCCGAAGCCCGCAAGCTCATGTCCGAAGAGCACAGAGCTCTCGGGTATCGCCCTCCTCCCGGCTCGCTCGCCGCGATGGCGCAGGCCGCCGCTGCTAAGCACCCAGACGCGAACGCCGGCGTCAACTCTGCTGCCCTCGCGCAGGCGGCTCTGGAGGACGCGAAGCGGATCGCGGCGGAGCGCAGCTCGAACGGCTCTGCATCTTCCCATTCATCCGCATCTTCTCCCGACCCAACCGCCCAGTTGAACCTCAATACGATCAGCGCACCCGAGGCCCGCACTCTCCAGTCTGAGGAGCACAAGCTGCTCGGCCATCGTCCCCCGGCTGGCTCTGTGGCGGCTCAGGCTCAGAGCGTCGTCGACCAGCGTGCGCAGGTCCCTGTAAGTTCATTCGCCCTCTGCTCCGACGGATTAGTATCTCAACTGCGTGTGATCGTAGGTGACGAAGGAGCTGGCCGCCTCGCTCGAGTCGCAGGAGCACAAGGTGCTCGGACACCGTCCGGAGAGCGGCACCATCGCATCGACGGCGCAGAGCCTCGCGGACAAGAACGCGCAGGATGGGGGTGACCGCACCCTAGGCGATGTGGGCTTGTGAATGCTCTCTTACCATGGTTGAGGAGGATCAGACGGGACATATAGACGAGGTAGAGAAGTATCATCCAACTTGTATCATCAACTTGTAGCATAGCCGTTTGTTTCGTATGGATGTCCAGCATTTGTACTCGATCTTGTGTGCTCCCTCGTGCCCTTGAGTCGACCAACTCTTGATACACGAGTATACCTGAGTGGTGTTTCTATCGGCGTTGTGGACCAGAGCCAGAAGTTGGTGCCGATTACCCAAATCCCAGAACCGCCGTGTTCACTCCTATCAACCATCCTGTCAGTGTTAGAGTGCGCTGATCATCAGCGTGTACGCTAATTTCAAAAAATATGGACCAGCTAAGCCAGACCGTGTCTCGCCATGCCGGCCCCATCAAGACCATTCAGGTATGTACGAATCAGTACGAAGAGTGTGGGTATGCGATAAGCGCGATCTAAACTATCGATCCCTCTCAGCACAGAAGTGTTCCCTTCGTTTCCCCGGACCTGCCATTTCTCGGGATCAGCCACGTCCTCCTGCCCAAGGCGACCGTGGATTGAGCGAACAGAGAAACACCGCCACCGCTAGTGGTCGTAGCACAAGAAGGTCAAAATGGATCTGAGCAGCGACATCTCCGAGCTATCCCGCGTCGTATTCTCCTACCCTGCCATCGACAACCACGCGCATGCGTTCTTGCGGGAGGAGTACAAGGATTCGACACCGTTCGAAGGGCTCATCACCGAGGCGAACCTCAACACGGATCAGGCCCTATGCGACGCCGCGAGCACCCTGGCGTGCTTCCGCGCGACTGCCCAGCTCGCGAAGCTATACGGGCTTGGGGCGGACGCGGACTGGGAGACGGTGAAGCGCTTCCGGAGCCAAGTCTCGTACGACCAGCTGTGCCGGTCGTGCATGGCCCCGACGCACATCCAATGCATCCTCATCGACGACGGCCTCGGGAGCGGGGAGAAGGTGTATCCGTACCGTTGGCACGACCAGTTCACCGCTAGCCCGACGAAGCGCATCGTGCGTGTCGAGGCACTTGCCGAGGTATACCTTCTCCCGCGAACGTACCTCTGATTCAACCTACGTACTGACTGCACTCCACAATACACAGGACATCCTGAAGCGAGCGATCGAGTTCCAGATCGAGAAGAAGGAGCTCGCGCCGTCGACGCTGCTCGAGCGGTTCCTCTTCACGATGGATACCGCGCTGCGGACGGCAGCCGCGGACGGCGAGGTCGCGGGCTTCAAGAGCGTCGCGTGCTACCGCACCGGGCTCGACATCGGTATCGTGTCGTCGATCACGGACGATGCGCAGGCGCACCAGCTGCTCACGCGCCTGAGCCTGATCTATATGACGAACCAGATGCTGCGACTCGCGCACAAGCCGATCAACGACTACATCGTGAACGCCACCATGCGCATCGCGGGCGAGGCGGGGAAACCCGGTATGTTTTTTGCCGTGTTTCGCGGTACCTGAGGGATAGCGTTGATACTGATGAGGACACGCTTCGTCAGTGCAATTCCACACAGGACTAGGAGACAACGACATCACCTTGACACTGTCGTCGCCCGCGCACCTCCAGCCGCTCATCAAGGCATACCCCGGCACTAAGGTCGTCCTGCTGCACTCCAGCTACCCGTTCACGAAGGAGGCGGGATACCTCACCTCCGTCTATGATAACGTATACCTCGACTTTGGGGAGATCTTCCCCTTCCTCAGCGCGGACGGCCAGCGCCAGGTTATTCGTGAGGTGCTAGACCTGGCCCCTACGACCAAAATTATGTGGTCAAGTGAGTCGCTCGCACGTGGATGTCACCCTTACACTTTCTGAACATGGTGTAGCGGATGGCCACTATTGGCCTGAGTCGTATTACCTAGGTACTCTGCAAGCACGGCAGGCGCTCTTCGAGGTAACGAGCCATATCACACTCATAGGAAGTGCAACCGCTCACCGTTCACATATCTCGCGCGCGCACGAACGCTAGGTCCTGGAGAGCTCAATTCGAAGGTGGGAACTGACCTTGCCCCAGGCGATCGGCATCGTCAAGCGGGCGTTCTTCGAAAATGCGAACAGGATATATGGCCTTGGACTGGAGCCGCAGTTCTCGTGAAACGGACAACATCTGTTTCAGTAATGTGCTTGCTGGATCTGTACGATTAGGAATTAAGGACACACTACTCTTCCATCTCGTCTTCCTCTTCTACGATGTCGAGGCCCTCTTCCTTCGCACGCTGCAATGCGCGCGCCTCCTTTTCCTGCGCGAATGCAACCAGCGATCGCAATATATCGCGTTGCCCTAAACCATTCAACCCCTTTCAGCTCAGGCAGTCCACATACAACCACAGTGTACGCACCTTCGAGGTAATGCTCCAGCATCTCCACAACCGGCGCCCTGAGCTCCGCGACATTCGCAGGCGGGAACGGCGGCAGCCGGTCATACAAACTCTGCACCATCCCCGCGAGCATATCCGCCGCACACAGCTCGTCCTCCACAGCCGTCTCCGTCTCCGTGTCCATCTCCATCGCCCCATCCTCCTCTTCATCCTCCCCGTACTGCGCGCCAATCGCCGCGAGTACCGCGTCCCACACGGGCTCGGCTCCGCGCGCGTTACGTCCCACCTCGAACTTCGCGTCCGCGGGGACGGGCGCAAAGGCGCCGGAGGGCCCGCCGATCTTGAGCACGATCGTGTCGTCGGGGTTGTTCGGGAGCGAGAAGCCGTAGCCGAGGATGAGCTCGGCGTTCGGCTTCGGGCCATAGTTGTTGAGCAGCTCGGAGCCGGTCGTGGTGGGCGTGTGGATGACGAGCGAGATGTGTGGCTCTGCGGAGGAGGTGTTGATCCCGTCTGAGACGACCCATGAGACGGGATGCGCTCTTGCGTGGTTGAGTGCGTCGATTCCGGGGAGGAGGACTGGGTACGAGGAGGGCGTGGTGTGGAGGGTGGGCGTTTGTGAAAGGACTGTTGATGGGAAGGCACGGGAGGAGAGGTACGTCGATGTAGTGAGGTATCTGTCCCTGCAATGCCAGGTCAGTCCCGGCAGCAGCGTGTGGAACTGAGTACACACCAGGTAAATGCTTTTCCCCATGCCGGGCTGGCAGCAGATACTACGGCTTGGCACTGCACCCATTCCGCTTCCCAGTCGCGCTGTCTGTCGATGGTTGCGCCGTACAGGTTCGTGCCTCTGAACGCTTCTAGCTCGTTTGAAGTGAAGTGTAGGGGGGTCACGAGCCTCTCGGGCGAGGGCAAAGTGTCGAGATATGGCCCATGTCGCAGTACAGTCCTGACACGCGCAAAAGGAAGGTCGTCAGCCAGGACATCCTAACTTAGACGGAGAGCCACTGGCATTGGGCACTCACAGAGATCTATCGGCAATCCAGTGCATGCAAAGGTATGTGCAAATCAACTGCCGCTCGCTCAAGCTGTCCAACGCGCCTTGCATCGCATCTGCGGAGACCTTCAGCGTCCCCTGCAGCGCATCCTTCGAGCCTTCCGGTGTGATAGCCAAAGAAAATGGGATCGACACAATGGCGGCGTCGGCGGGTATGTCGTTCGCGGCTAAGATACTGAATCCGCTGACCACTGTTCACACAATTTGTGCTCTTCTTGAGTTCATTACATGTTGGACACAGAGGGCGCGGTGTTTGCTCACTTTGTTCAAAATGAGCGTCAGGGTGGATGTCTGCCCCGTGTTCAACGAGCCATGATTTGAAGTTCACGACATTGAGAGGCTCATAGGGCTCAATCTCGGTGTCCATGACCGTACCAGAGCCGGTGGATGGTGGTGCACAAGAATTAATTATACATCAGCAAAACCGTCAGACACCCCCAAGGATTTGGCGCCGGCCTTGGGTTTGGGAGCGCTCCTAAGCGCGCCCGTACGCTCCCAAAAGCCAGGAGCACCTTCTAGGATTCCGAGGGTACCACTTCACCCTCTCAAGCATCACCCCCACGAGCGGACCCCAGCAATGACCAAATCCAGCCGCACGAGGACCTTTCTGGGACGCCGTGCTGTCAGCGATTCAAATCCCGCGTTGTCTTCCATTTCGACTCCTACATAAGGCTTCCGTTCGGGCTGTTATTCCTCTGTCGCCCCTCTTCCTCTTACCCCCTCCACCGCTTGCTCTCTCGACTCTCCTCGGCGATTCTGATCGCTTCTTGTAGAATGCCTGGTGTAACTTTGCGTGAGTTCCACTCGTTGTTCATCGATCATCGCCTGGTCAACTCCGCGTGCGTCCGTTCCTCTGCTCGCTTGAAATCTCGAACTAACATGTCCACCAGGTGGCTATATGCGGCTAAACCGAAGCTATTACGATCCAATACGCAACCTTTGTGTACGTAGTATGACTTTCCACTTCCAAGTCCGGAACTCAACTAACATACGATTAACAGGCTATATGCACGGTCAACAACGCTGATCTACGATTGGGGACTTTGGTACGTCGTGATTCCCTTCAACTTCGAGAACCTCGACTTAACGCGCCCCTTGGCACACTCAGTACGCATAGGGCAACATCCGGATCTTGTGAGGCAACATCTGCGTAAGTTTACGACTCGTCCGAGATACCTCTGTATACTGATCGTCTTCTCAGCGAGATCGCCTTCCAGGACAGCGACTTCCCTGCAGCATCGCGACGCTCAAAACGCCATCGTCGCCGCCACAGCCATCGCCTTGGCTGCTTTCTAATATTCATTTCCATACACTTCTGCACGCTCTGATCTCTTTGCAGCTCCCTGTCCAGTGTTATCCTCGCTCGCGCTCTGTAGTTCTGTTGTTTCCTTCCTGTATAGAGTACATATTGTTCAATAATCACTCACATTATCTACTCTCTTACTTGCCGTTCCCCTGAGCAGAACTGGAAAGGATGCATATATAGGATATTCCGATAATTCGCATAAATTGACGGGCTTGCGTCCAATTGCATACATTCACTATCAAGTCTACCGATTGTACACAAAAGCAAGCCTTACGCGTGGGGTTTGCGAGCACCCCGAGAGAATTCCCGAGCGGGACGTAACGATGGCAGGTTGACACTAAGTTTGAGGGCGATCGGGTGAATTGGTTTCGCTCGCAAGTACCCCGGTGTGCTTGTCAGCGTCTAGCGGTTTTGCTGATGTAGTCTGGTGTGAGGCGTCGGTTTTGGAGGAGGGTGGGCTTTCGGCCATTGCCGAACTAGGCGCTGGAGCGTTCGCACGGCGTTTAACTCACATTTAAGAGCACAGAGCACATCGGAGTACATTTGAGTATATTATTCACTCAAAGACGCGTTGAAGAAAGCTCATACTACTTTTCGTAATTTTTGGACGTCATCTGCGCTGAATATAAGGCGTCTCGGGGTACTCGGGCATAAGACCTGACGCTTACTGTGTGTCCCAGCAGTCAAGACAGCCGCCTTCGTGTTACTGCAAGACAGCAATGTTTCGGCATGTTTTGAATTTATAATGAATTCTGTGTGTCATATAAACCTCTGTGGGTCGTCAAATTGGGTTTTAAGAACTGCATAGCGTCCACGACCGACATGGAGAGCTTCGTACGCCGGCGTCTATTTCTTAATTGGGACGAGAGGGGACCCTCCTGCAAAAGTTCCGCGCCTCGTCGCAGACTATATACGTAGATCGACTGTCATCTACTATATAGTCAGCCACGGAGACTAAGAATTGATAGACCAGACGGCAGTCGGAGCGTATTCGATGCCCGAGGGTTGAGAAAGACTCGCAAAAGTCGCACCCGTCCGCAGCTCTGTGTCTGTCCCTCGTCCTAATCTTATCTGATTCCGACGGAGAACCCTCGGGTGACGCAGTATCTTATCAGATTGTGCTTTCTAACCACTCTCAAAGTCATTGCGCTCATCGCACCCACTGGTCCTGGACGTCGAGCCCCGCGCCCCATTGTAACGCACCCTCCGAGACCCCCAGCTGCCTGCCTGCCATGCCCATCTCCGCCGCAACCCTCGAGACGGCCATCCGCGCGGCAATTCCGGTGACACACCTCGACATCGAGGACACCTCGAACGGCTGCGGGGAGAACTACGCGGTCTTCGTCGTGAGCGAGGTGCGTGCCCAGCCCTTCGCGGCACGCGGTCTGGAGCGGAGAATGTGGCTGAACGGAACCATGTGTTCCGCGTATCATGCAGGCGTTCGAGGGGAAGAACACGCTCGCGAGGCACCGCTTCAGTGAGTCGTGCATCTGCTTAGCTCGAGTTGTTGTGGCGGAACGCTGATTGCAGCAGTCAACGAGGTCCTGAAGAACGAGATCGCGCAAATGCACGCGTTTTCACAGGTCAGTGCTCCTTAGACGGCCGTACCTTGATAAATCCGGAACGTGCGGGGTTTGGTGGAGGGCAGAATAGCTAACCGGACTGGCTGCAGAAAACGCTCACTCCAACGCAGTACCAGGCGCACCTCGCGAAGCAGGCCGAATCCTGACCCTTCAACAACCTCTTATGATATTCGCGAAGGACAGACTCTGCCGTTGAGGTTCTGTTTGGCAATGTAGAGGCACGTGTCGGTGGGCGCAGTTGTACGATCAGTGTAACAGTCGTTCCTGTTGTATGGTGGCTCTTCTCTTTGATGTTCGACACTGAGTTACGAGAAATGTGTGATTAACGAGAGCTAAAGGCATCACAGAGAGCAAGCAGTGGTCAAAGTCGAAGGAAAGAGAGGAAGAGAGTCACGAAGGCTGGAGTCTGGGCTAAGCAACGTCAACAACCTGCCACGGGGGTTTGAAAAACGGAGCGGTGCTGCCTACCCATCTGCACTGACTATGATGTGCTGTGGCTGTTCTGCCTTCATCTCTGTTAGTATATCGGTTAGTACACGCGCCTGTCATTGACTTGGCCGCGCGAAAGCGGGGTTCGACTCCCCGACAGAGAGTTTTTGTTACTCTTGTCTGCTTTCCCCTCTCTCCCAGACCGCCAGCATCTTTCCCTCGTGTCCATAGCAGATCTCTTGTGTTTTGGGAGAGACGAATTCATCTCTCATTTCTCTTTCTGTGTCCACTCTCTAGACATCACTCGCGCAGATACTGAGCCTCAGGCCTCAGGGGTCGGATAAGTACGGCGACATTTCGCTTGCATGCACTTGCACGTCGGATTCACACTCACCTGGCCACCCATCCTTGCCTTCTCCCGCGCTCCCAACGACCCCGCAAATACTCCTCGGACCTCGGTGCTGTGTCACTGGCATCACCTTGTCACCAGACCGCCATGCTCACCGAGAAGCGTCGGAGGGACGTCGGAGGGGCCGTAAGCATCATTCGATTGACGTTAACTCCCGCCCGGGGAGTCGAAGCATTTGAATAAACCGGCTTGACATCGAACGCCGATACTGATCAAGAAGACAGCTCGTCTCCAATGCGCAGGCAATCTACCCACCGCTGTCGAGCGCAGCGGCCAGAACCCACAGATACGCGTACGTCGTTAATATCATGCTCATTCATCCCGCCAACCCCCAGACATTCGAACCATGCAGGACCTGAGTCGGCACCAAGCAAGGTCTAATGCAGCAATGCACAACATCCTTCTGGGCCGCAACGCGCTCCGACGAGGCAGGAGGCGCGGTCGTCGGCGGTCAGCGGCGGTCCTGATCGGCTATCTTCTGGGCAGAACGCCCGCGCCGTCCGCCAGTTCACACTCCCGAGACGTCAGAGAGGAGGCGGAGGCAGCGGAAGGGCGATGCGCGCATGTGCGACGCTCTCGTGGCGGACGGCGTCGATATCGTATAAATATCCCCTGCCGACGCAGCGTCTTATCGCTCGTCGACCACAAGGCACACCCTGGTGACTTGCTACAGTGTCAGCCCCCTGTGTCTCACGAACCCGCCTCTCGTCTGACGTCGACTCGTTGCACTCGGACTTGGTGAACCCACGCTAGGATGTTCGCGAACATGGTTGAACTACCGGCTTGGCTGCTCGGGATGGGTCTGGTTATGCTTGTGCTGCCCGGCGCGTCGGCGGTGTCGGTGGACAGCAGGGCGCACAAGAAGGACGCGTCGGTGCTTATCCTGGGTGGCGGCGTCGCGGGGGTCATCGCTGCGCGCACGCTACACGAGCAGGGCATCACGAACTTCACCATCGTCGAGGCCAAAGGTACGCGCAGTCTTGGTCATACTTGCAAGTTTGACAACGTGACTTACGCATCGCAGGTGAACTGGGAGGTCGCCTCACCTCCACGACCTTTGGAGCAAAGGGCAAGGAGGTTACGCTCGAGCTAGGTGCGTCGTTCCGTTACCGACGCGTATCTTCGCACACTGACAACAAACGCTCTCCACCCTCGTAGGCGCCAACTGGGTACAAGGCACGCAGACCGACGACGGACCCGCCAACCCTATCTGGACCCTCGTCCAGAAGCACGGCTTGAAGACGCACGAGAACGACTGGACCGGCAGCATCGGTGCGTGAACCCGCGCGTCCATCACGCCGGTCAGCCACTGAGCGATTTCACGACAGTGACCTACAACGCGACCGGCCCAGACGACTTTCTCGACCTGTTCGACGAGTCTGCGGACGCGTACACGAACCTAACGATCACCGCAGGCGCACGTGTAGACAAGCGGCTCGTGGACGGCACCGCGCGCACTGGGTATTCGCTCCTCGGCGCCAAGTCGCGCACCCCGCAGGCGATGGCGAGCGAGTACTACCAATTTGACTGGGAGTACGCGCAGACGCCCGAGGAGTCGTCTTGGATCGCCAGCTCCTGGGTGCGCGCTTTCTCTCGGCGATATTCGGAAGTGTGTAACTGACGGCGCGTGCAGGGCAACAACTTCACGTACAACACGGACGTGGGCGGGTTCGGAGACGACAACCAGATGGCGCTTGACCCGCGCGGGTTCAAGTACATCCTCGACGGGGAGGCGGCCGAGTTCCTGCAGCCTAGCCAGCTGCGCACGAACTCCACTGTCAAGACGATTAAGCACTCGGACTCGGGCGTCAGTGTCGTGCTCGAGAGCGGGGAGGTCTTGCATGCGGACTACGCGCTGTGCACGTTCAGCCTGGGAGTGCTCCAGCACGATGACGTCGTGTTCGAGCCCGCGTTGCCGGACTGGAAGGAGGAGGCGATCCAGAGTATGACCATGGTGAGGCGTTCGGGTGCAGATAGTCAGGGTCTGCGGGGCTAATGCGGATTTTGGACAGGCTACGTACACGAAGATCTTCCTGCAGTTCGAAGAGAAGTTCTGGTTCGACACTGAAGTGAGCAACGCATGGAAGCATAGGGGGCTATCCCACTGACGTACTGTTTCCTCAAGATGGCATTGTACGCGGACCCTGAGCGCGGGAGGTACCCCGTGTGGCAGTCCCTCGACCACGAGAACTTCCTCCCCGGCTCTGGCATCGTCTTCGTCACCACTACCGTGCGTCGCTACCTTCTCTCCCTTTTTGATCGCTAACCCCTTGTTCACACAGGGCGACTACTCGTTGCGTGTCGAGTCCCTACCAGACGCACAGGTGCAAGAGGAGGTCCTCGGCGTGCTCGCCGCGATGTTCCCGAACACGACGATCCCCGCCCCAGTCGCATTCCACTTCCCGCGCTGGAACGCCGACCCGCTCTTCCGCGGCTCGTACTCTAACTGGCCGTCGTCGTTCTTCAGCGAGCACCACGAGAACCTGCGCGCGAACGTCGGCGAGCGCCTCTGGTTCGCGGGCGAGGCGACGAGCCAGAAGTACTTCGGCTTCCTGCACGGGGCGTACTTCGAGGGCGTGGACGTCGCCACCGAGATGGCCAAGTGCATCAAGGGCGGCGGATGCGTGGGCATGAAACACGTCCTGGAGGTCACGAACGCGCGGCCGTACCAGATCTAAAACTCGCGTAGTCCATACAAGTAGTCCATACATCTGGGGCTGGTCAGACATAGGTGGCATACGGTAGACGATACCACACCAACACTACATATGTCCACAATGTCGATGTCATACACCTGCGTCCGTCCACTGTCCGAGCAGCGTCCGTCCCTACAAATACACCATCACCCGCCGAGGCATCACTGCGGCAGAGCGTAGGATCCAGAGGACTTGGTCTCCTCGAAGTCGACCATGTAGATGCGCGGGCGGTCGACGTCCGCGAAATCCCAGTTCCCGTCCTTCTTGACCGCGGGGACGCCTTCTGGGAACGGGTCCGCGAGCGCGCTCGGGCAGCGGATGACGGGGCTCCCGGCCTTCGGCGACTTCTCCGTGTCGTTCGTGAACACGTCCGCGTCGAAATCCGAGTCTGTGAGCACCGCCTCGACGTGTACTATAATCACCGATTTTGTTAGAGAGTGAGCGAGCGAGAGAACGGGCGGGAATCGCACGGTAGTGGGAAAGCCCCTGGTCGAAGCCAGTCCAGCAGATGATGCCGAAGACAAGCGCGCCGACGAGGACCATGAAGGACACGATCGTCATGCAGCCGAAGAAGGGCCACTCGATGAACGTCCAGGTGTACACCTGCGCCTTGAACATGGCACTCCATCCGACGATGTAGAACACGTTGAGGAAGAGGAATCCCGCCATGAGCAGCTTCTTCTCGCGCCGGACGGCAAACCAGCCCTGTACGTGTCGCGTTAGCATGGCCGATATCTGCCGAGAAAGCTCAGTGAACTCACTATGACGATCCATGGTACAATCGTCTGAGTGCGCCGTCAGCTATGCAAACTCATGTGGCGATGCGAGGCACGTACCACGACCGTGAAGACGAATAAAGTATAGTAGAGAGGTGCATGCTGCGCCAACACCGCGATCTCGCTGTTGCGCAGCTGGTCGATCCAGAGACTGATGGCGGTGACGGTGAAAAACAGCGAGAGCTGGAGGAACATCGAGTTGATCAAGAAAAACTGCGCCCTTGTCAGAATGCGCGGTTCGTGCTTCGTTTCCATCACTCGTACACACCTTGTACAGGCGCATCACGCGCGGAGGTGGGCCCACGCGGCGAATCGTGGAGCAGCTGTAACCCTGTAGGAAAGATGAATGTGAGCCTGTTGATGAAGGGAGTGTCAGTAAGAACGTACCTTCACGATATGCCATGCGAGGAAAGAAGTGGATAGCAACGCGGTGACATTGAGCACCAGTTCGGGGATCTGTGGTATGGGTTAAGCACTGCATCTTAAAATTGGGCTAAACAAGGAATGTACCTGGAGGGCCAGGCGCGTGCTGAAGTAAGAGGGCATGAAGTCGAAATGACAGGGTGTGTTGTCCCCGACAATAAGGGTCTTGTATCTGAACTGCACGTCGGTCGTGCGCCAGATGGTGTATGTCGCCCATGCAGTCTGCATCACCCGAGCGAAGACTACCGCCCAACTGCAATGATGTTAAAACAAGTTAGTTCTACCTGACTTGTGAGGAGTTCGCGTTTCTCTTGCTCACATATGCGGTATGGAGTTGTACAAGATCTATGTGGAGTGCATTCATGAGCATAGAGTTGAAACAGTAGATCAGTTAAGCTACTCACGCCGAAAGTTGATATCCCGAGCAGCCAAAATTGAGAACCGATCAGTGCGAGGTCCTCTCTCTGGGAGTTGTCCAGGCTGCTCCGCCATCAGTCTCGCAGCCTCACTTAGAGGTATACCATACTCACATTCTCCCTGGATACTCTAGCATGCGCGCGCACTGCTCGCTAAGTTCGACCGAGTCAGCGCCGTTGTTGTAGACTAATTCGACAGCTGCGATCTTTCCCGTCTTAGGATCGGGGATGGCTGTCAGCGAAGAGCCGTCAAATGCCCTGCGGGCGATCTGGAGCATCAAAGAAGGTGTCAGATTCAAGCACGCATGATCCGCTTGGAAGCACGTACGGTGGAGGGCGCATCCAAAAACACCAGATCCTCCTAGTACCCATTAATTCGAACCAACCTCGCACGCAGTGAAAGGGAGACGCACTACATCGGCGAACCTAGGAACAAATGCGCCCGTGGTGTTCAAAGTCATGCTGGTGTCCCAGATAGTCGTACAATCTTTATACACGTCTCCGATCGGCGCCGCCGTGCAGAGCTTGAGGGTGAGGTCGTCCCCGTGCCGGAAGAGCCGCGCGACCTCGTTTCGCGGTACCTGCGCGGTGTGCAGGATGTTGAACACGAACGCGGACGTGCTCGCGTCCTCCGAGTACAGGAACGCGGCGGTGAGGCCCTGCGCGAGGCAGTGGATCACGCTGAGCAGGAAGAAGGCGAGCGTGTGCGGGGTAAGCGTGATCCGCGCCAGCTGGTCCGCGGACACGCGCGTGAGTTGAGTCCGTACACGTAAGGAGGGAGGGAGGCTCACTGCTGACTTGAGGCGAATCGCCACTTTGCCGTTGTTGGTCTTGGTCTTCGTCATTTTGAGGGTCGTTCGAATGCGTGGGGACTATCAAAGCCCGCCAAAAGTACAACCAAGCAGAGAACGAAACCGAAGGCGAAGCGAAGAGCACAAACAGAAAAGACAGACACGAAGAAAGGGCGCGAAGGAGGAACGAAAGCAGCAGTCAGTCCTGGAGCCTGCCAGCCGCAACTCGGAGGGAAAGGCGGACGCGGGCGCGGGGGGACGCGTTAATAACCGCGTCTGCGACTCGGCTCGGAATGATGCTCCCCAGGGTCAGCGCGTAACGGGGCAACGGTGGCGGTGCCTGATCTGAGGTGGCGACGACTAGTCCGACTCGTCGTTTGATGGGATGGGCGGAGCGGGATGGGATGGGACCTCGAGAGGAGGGCATAAACGGCTTCTGCACGTTGGCCATCAACGCTGGCGGGACGGGCGATATATAGCGAGGCTTGTGCGAAGATGAGGGCAGCTGTTGGAGAACTGGTTGTAGATATGGTTTGCTGGTGTGGAAGTATGCGTGATGGCATAGAGGTACCCGAAGCGAGGGTGCGCCTACGATCGCGCGCGTGGTCTTCCAAGACGGTGCGGACTCTTCTGTAAATATCGTCAGCCATCTTCTCATGTACATGCAAGCTGAGCACTCACTATCTAAACTGTGAGCCCCTGTCTTCAGGTTCATGCGAAGTCTCAGGACGTGGAAATGCCACACATCAACGCATCAACTCTGCATCTCGTTCAGCGCTCGCGGACCTTATAAGCCAATCAACGTTTCATCACCGCACGAACATCTCTCCTGAATCCTCAAATCAATCCGACGCGCACAGCCAAGCACGCAATAGAGAAGAGACTTGACCTATGGACACAGACAGAGAGAGCTGCCCGACGTACCATTCGCGGGAGATCCACGATAAAGAAGTCGTTCGTGACCGCAGCTGACATCATGTAATGGGTACGCCGGCGGCCCTACGCACCAGACAAATTCAACCAAGATAGAACATGTCAATATATGGTCTAATGGGGTATGAACGTATGAGTACACGAACCGCTTCTCTATCGAGAAGCAGGCTCCAGATCCAAGAAGTGTCGGGGAAATCACTCGTCGCTGGCCAAGTCGAAGCCGGCCACATGGAGCAGCGTAGCGAACTGCGTCGATAAACAGGAGCTCAGCCGCAGCCAGCGCACAAGTATCGAGAAGCATGCTCACCTGCACCTTCGCGATGGACTTGATCTGCTCGAAGTCGTAGTTCTCGCGGTCGCTCAGGTCGCCTGACGGTTCCTACATCAACTTCGCCCCCACAAGAAATGCCTTCGCACTGACCGCTGTTGTGATACATGGGGTCCGCGATGGGGCCCGCGCGCTCGAACACCTGAGTGGATGGGAAGCCTTGGCCATGGAAGCTCTGGAGTAACACATGGTCAGCCTGTGTCCGTTCACACGGTATCACTGCGACTCACCTGGTGGTCACTGCAGCACGCCTGGGCATTGCAGAGTTTTGATTAGCAGCTGCTGGCCAAAATCACGAAGCCTCGCTTACCGGGGTGAAGCCGACTTTGAGCTCGGGGCTGTAGATGGCCGACAGGGTCGCAACGAGCTGGGTCACCTCGGGCGTCCCAATCCTGCGCGCATACAGTTAGCCCATTTGAACCCCCAAGCCTTCTTCATAGCATTTTAACAACATACCGATCGGGAAGACCAAGTTGTGCGGGCTCGCCGGGCGCGTGGTACGCAAGCATGTCCGCCTGGACCATGAGCGTCAAGTTGGCGTCCTTCTGGCGCAGCTCCTGCGCGTAGTACCGCGAGCCGTAAAGGCCCTGCTCCTCGCCCGAGAACGCGCAAATCTGCACGTTCTTCTTGAACTGGACGCCCTTGCGCGCAATAGTGCGCGCTATCCCGAGTAGCGTAGTGGTGCCAGACCCGTCATCGTCGCCACCGGGCGCGCGCGTGCTGCCGAACGAGCCCCGACTGTCGTAATGCGCGCTAATGAGGACCGTCTCTGTCGTGTCTTCCGACCCCTTGAATGAGCTGGCGTACCGTCAGATCAAGGACCCGTGCTCAGCGGGTAGAACTCACCAGATGACATTGGGCGCGAAGCCAGACAGGTAGGGCTTGAGCTCGCAGGTCGCGCCCAGGTTCTCGAAGTTGGTCTTCAGCCACTCCGCCGCGATGAGGACCCCGCTGGAGAACGAGTGGCGGGAGACGATCTCGGACGAGGAGGACTCGCCGGTGAGATAGCGCACGTCCGCACGCAGTTGCGGCACGGAGATGTTGTTGACTAGGGCGGCAACAACGGGGTCGAACTTCAAGTTGTTCAGGATGTCCTTGACGCGCTCGATCGCCTTGGAGGGAACAGGAATGAAGTCGATGGGGGAGTCTGGGAGGGGAGACGCCTTCCAGAACGCAGGCAGGTGCTGGTCCAACGTGAGCGCGGTCGCACTGTCCACGGATATCAAGGCCGCGTTCTCCGTGCGGTGGAGGATCTGAGGCGCAGCCTTCCTCTCCCCGAAGACGACCTGGTCATTGTTGGACGCGGTGGGAGCAGCGGTGGGAAGGTGTGAGAGGAACGCGTCGATCTCGTCAACGAACGTTGCGGGCTTGATAGCTGGGTCTACAGCTTCATGCTGCAGCCACACAAGTTGCTGCACATCTCCAGATATGCTCCCGAGCGAGCCGTCCATGACGAGGTCGCTGGGCATTTCGGCGACACATAGCTCGTCGTTCGTTATAAAGATGTCCTGTTGACCGTGGGTGCCATAGTAATACTTGGACAAGCAGGTGTCTGCCGCCTGCGGATTGTGAGGGATGGCAATGAGAAGCGCAGAGGGAACGACAGCGTTGACGAGAAGCATAGTGTCGAGGTCGTCGTCGTGGTCGTCGTCCAACCCGCTCGCGCCGCTGAACGACCGCTCTACGCTACGTATGACGTAACCATGCCCTAATATGGTAATCCTACCAGTCGTCTCAGCTCAGTGACCTACCTCCGAGTGTCTGCTAGATATTTCGAGAGAACCCCTTAAGTTCAAGAATTTTTTGTATAAGAGTTGAGACCTATGATATTTTAAGTTACTCTGAACTAAGCCAAAACTGGTGACGTAGCCCGATTAACATCACTTCTCAAGTCCGTCCGGTGTGTATCCGTAGTGTAGACTATGTCCTATGATACACTGTATAGCTAAGGTCCGATGTGTATGTAGCTATTGTCCGCATCCGTCCGTTGAACTGTATCGGCCGCCTCCTAGTATCATATCTCGAGCAGCTCCGACGGCCAGCGGTGTGGCAGGTCGACCAGCTTCGGGTCACGGATGTTGAGCATCAGACGCGTAATGAGTGTGGTGGAGATGCTGTGGGGAAGATGATGTGAGTCTATGTGTTGCAGGGGCGTGGACAAGGAAATCGTGAGGCAAGCTTACACGTTCGTAAAGGTCGTGCTGACACCCTTGTATACGGGCTGTTGTGATCGGAGTCAGTCGACCTTGTCGAAGCGATACAGGCAAGGGCGCATTTACCTGGGCCAGCTAAGCGCGAAGTCACGTCAGGATACTCATGACAGCGCCACGAAGTGTAGCGGATAACTCACAATGTACGTTAAAATGTTGCAACCGTAGCACACGACTAGGATGCTGTATGGACGGAACGGTAAGCTTCTGCTCGCGCCGATGCGATACCAGGGCACCGATACGAACCCGAAATATATGGTCCCTAGATATCACAGTCAGAGTGCTACACATGAGAAGGCGTCGCGAACGGGCTCACCATCTCTCAGCATAATATGGAACAGACTGTGGCTGAACATCCGGCCGACCCGCAGCGCCTGCGTGAGGGTAAGGACGAAGACTGTCGCGTCGAATACGAGGATGGAGCTCCACGCGGCAGCAAGGTCTAGTACAGAGAGGAAACGATCAGCTATCATGCACGGGATCAGGGCGTGAGGGGGCGTACAATATCCTCTACAATATGTTCGGCGATTAGCATAATTCATAGGGCAATGCGAATGGTTGACGTACTGTTTTTCGGACAAGGTCAGGTCGCAGCCTGTGTATACCGCGATGTCCTGGAAAGACCGCAGATGCAGACTTCGTACGCTCACGATAGCCCACTAAGAAGGAAAGTTAGTGTATGTCAGTACAGACAAGTACACGGGACATACCACGCTGACGGCCCCGCCTGCCGCGCATATAGACGCGAGCAGGTACACCACTTTGCGGTTCCGGTTGTAGAGCGCGTACGTTCGCAGCATCAGAAGAACTGCGACATATACATCAGGAATACGATTCAGATTTACGAAAGAAAGACAACACGCACCGCCAACGAAGAACTGAGTGAGCGCCGCAAGGACCTGGTGATAGAGTTGCAACTTCCGACATCTGTTGAGAGGTGAGCACGAATTCCACAGCTCCTAGTTGAAGTACTCACGACTTGAATACAGAACAGCAACGAATGAGCACCTTGGTCACAGGTATCCGAGTCCAGGAGTAGAACACTTACAGACTCGGGCATGATCGCGAAGAACTCCACCACCACCGGTATGTGGCTGAGGACTGAGAGGTACCGGTTCAGGAAGTAGAAGATGGCCGCCCAGGACCGGCCGCCCTTCCAGTACCGCTCGACTTCGATCGGGATGGTCAACACAAAGTCATACCACAAGATGCCTGTGAGGATGCGAACAAATTGTTCAGAACAGCTCTACCAGCGCGCGCTACACCGTAGGACCCACCGAACGCGATGGCCGCAAAAACTCGGTTGATGTGGTTTGATTCCGCGCTGTTGCCCTCTTCAGCTCCAAGCTAGACAAGGCTGTTAATCGCATGACTGTGATGGCACTCACATAGTGAGTAGTTTCGCCGCAGAGGCATCGGCAGTCATTTTACGCTGGACGGTCGTGTCCTCGGTCCGGGATATCCGGCCACAGTCCCGCTAAACGCCGGAGTTGTGGAGTAGCCAGGATGGCTGCGATCGCCCAACGACAAGCAAACGAGAGTGGACAGCCGCACAGACAGCGGCGCAGAAGGGCGCAGAGCGCACGTCGACACAGAGGGAGACAGATGGTCGCGGGGGACGGAAGAGGAGGGAGGAGGCAGTGGTACGTTCAAGAAAATGCGGCGTGGGCATATGGGGGCCTGGGGGAGCGGGGAAACGGATTGCCCTGCGCGCGAGGTTCAAATGTGCGCGGGGCGGACGCGCTGCCCTCTCGACCGATGCAGTTGTGTTCCTTTGCGGTCGCGCCCGGACACGCGGGGGTGTCATCCGCACTGTCACGGCCGTCAAGCAAAGTCGGAGATGGACAGATGTGGCAGCGCACTAGCGGGACATATAGGCCCCTCGAGGTCACCGCGCGCGCATGTGAGTCCACCTTGGCCGCAGTCCGAGTACAGCTGCCTATGAGCGTCGAACCTGGCGATAGGGGCGCGCGCAGACAGATAACGGAATCGACAAGGCCGTCGTACCTGCGAATATTCGGAGTCGACGAGGAACGAATTGGAGGTTTGGAGCAAGTTGAAGTATATTTGATCCGGACGATCTGTCGCGACGGGATTGATGCCATTTGCCAGTGATTCATGCACATTCCGGGCTCTGTCTGGACGATGCCTTAGAGCACCTCCGTAGCCTGTAGTTGCATGTGCGACTAAGTCGGGAAGCGCGGAGGGGGATGCATGCGGCATACATGAGAACAGGAACCTGCAATTGACCGCCCTGACGTCGGCAGATTGATCATTTCTGTCATATCTGCCAAAGATGACAGCACTCTGTGGAACCCTAAGAGCACATCCTCGCTGCCGTGCTTATGTGCTTGCTATATATGCAACCCGACGTAGTCTCGTTCCCATCCCTTCTGGCGCTTACAGGGCGTGCACCAGAAGGTCTGGGGCATTTCGGGCCCAAAACAGCCACTCGTGACAGGACGGTTACGGGGGTCACCAAACGTTATTCGTGACGATACTGTTACTCAAATGGCATCATAATGCGGGCACCTCATATTCTGTAAGTTTGTGGTTGTGCTTGGGGGTTAGCCTCCGACTGTCACTCCAATTCTGGGGATATTCAACGCCACGCAGACTGAGCGGGGAGTGCGACGTGAAAGACCCCCAAGCGCCCGCAAACGGCGTTAGCGCTGGCTGTCAACGCGCCGCGAAATCGCAGGGAATGCATTTGCGCTTCAACCACGCCTCGCCTCGCCTTCAAACATAGTGCAATAGACTCAAAAATGCTTTACAAGCGACTTTCAAAGCCACCATTATTTTAAAATAATGAATGCAAAGCGTCGGGATCAGCTGCAAGCCGGACAGCGATGACGAGAAATCGCTGACGTAACGTGACCTGCCGTCACGAGTGGCCTTACCGCCCACGAAATGCCCCAGACCTTCTACAGGGCTCTCCCCCCCGCGCGCTCAAATCCCTTCGTGAGAACCTGGCCAAAATATTTTAGCGCCTGTGCACCATTCCTTTGGCCAATCACAGCGCTCAGCGTGCGGGAGGGGGGAGAGCCTCTGTAGAAGGTCTGGGAACGAGACTAAACCCGACGATCATGAGTCGAGTATTGGAGGATATCCACTCATCCCCATCCTTGTGAGTCGCCCGTCACCGAGCGGCCAGTTGAGGCGCCGCACCCTGGTGCACCCTATATGATCAGGCTCCCCTTCTGCAAAGCGCGATCACTGCGTGCGACCGGATTGGCTGTCAAGTATGTGGACTGTAGAACGATGCGGTACTCTTGAGAGGTACGGATCCTCATGCGTACTCCACGTTGCACGGAAATCCTTGACCCGCATTTAGTGCGACCCCAACGCTGCCACAGGCACCGGAAGGCTTCTAAAAGTAAATTCAAGCTTCAAGCTTCGAGCTCGGTCCGCCGTGGTATATCAAGAGAAAAAAACCTGCTCACATTACCGTATCAGCATCCAGGACCGATGATAGTCGATAGGATCGCTTACCGGCGACAAGGCACGTTCCCTGCGATACACTGGCACATCGGTGCTTTCAGGCATCGAACAGGCTCATAGCCAGTACGATCGTAGAAGAAGGGTAGGTGGCGGGTTGGCAAGGAAGCTTAATCGTCGACGCAAGCGTGCATCCAAGCCCGCACTGTACGGGGCCGCCCTGCTCGGTATCATTGCTATAATAAAAGGTAACTCTGTATCAGTCTAGAAACTTCATTTAAGCAAGCATGGCATACGCACCATCGCCCATACCATGTGTGTGCATTCAGGTGAATGGGCTGCGCTGAGACTCGCAGAGACGCACAGGTTGATAGACTCGGTGCAGCCACTTTTCACGAGACCCTTGCCCCGCTCTTCGAGTTATCCAGAGGGATCTGTTGAACAAGAGACTCTCGGGTCCGTCTACATGAGTTTCGTTGCCGTAATGGACTTAACTTGCCTAGTCTGCTAAGTTATGACCGCCTCGCATGCCTGCGACTTTACCCGGTGTTTATGTCTTCAGTTGCTACTATACTGAATATGGGTACACAGTACTGACCTTTGCCCATGCTGCCGAAGTCACAGTTATTCCCAACCATAGAGTAAACGTTGGTGGTGTAGCCAACGACACAGAGTCACGACCCGGTCTCAGTTTGTACACATCACATCGATGTATGCGGCGTACATGTCGAGGATCTGCCCTCTGGTAGCCTAAGATTTACGGTCAAGACGTCGGCCACAGCTGAAAGAAGGAAAGAACACATGTTGAGCTACTCACAGCTGCTCGATGGACGAGAGCAACTCGAAGAAAGCGCAAATCGACGTCACGGGCAACGCAGTTCCTCCTGGTTTCCGACAGATCGCCCGGAACCGGAGGACGGAGGTAAATCACAGGATTGATCCGCTTCCCCGCATGGGCGCTCCGGTGCCGCATCCAGGCTCCAGCTGTGCTGGCAGCCACTGCGGGGTACCGCGTGCTGAGCGCTGATTGCTTTCCAACCATGTTGAACTTCGCTGTGGATCATGCAACCTACGCAGGTGCAACTGTACGGGTGCCGCTAAAGATTCGTTACGCATGTGGAGGAAGATTTCATATAATTTAAACCGAACATAACAAGTACACCATCATCGTCTAGTATTACAGGACGTCGTTCGTGATACAACGGACGCGACGCGCGGACGCGCATGCACGCACAGACGAAGCCATACGACTAGCGAAGTACGAAGAACAGTACATAGAAAGAGACGGGCGGAGAGTCCTACGGTTTTGAGTAATATACGGGCAGCAAGCAGCGAGACGAGACGGAGGCGCGAAGTATCTAGCAGCCATACACACAGGATAACAGTAGGGAACCGGGGGACAGAACGGAGCGACGGGGCAAAAGGAGCGCATATACACGAGTGCAGGAGTATTGTTCACTCGTCGTCGTCGTCCCCGTCACCGCTACCGCTGTCGGCCTTCTTGCCCTGCGAAAAAAAGGTAAGCGACCGGAGGGAGACCACATGGAGAGCGTGTACGTACGTCGTAAGCGTTCTTCTCCTCCTCGGCCCGCGACTTGTCGGCTGCAGCCTGGTCGAGGTAGGGCTGTAATGAGATAGATCAGTACCGCATACACCTACTGTACACGACGAACATACCTTCTTCTCGTCGTCGTCGAGCTCCTTCCACTTCGCGCCGAGGAGTTTGCCAATTTCACCTATCACACGCGTCTTATCAGCAACCGGACTAGCTGACAACGACGGCGACCACGAGCACTCACCGTGTGCTTTCGTTCAACGTGATGGGAGTGAAGCGACCCTGCAGTAAGATTGCCACACAGTCCGCAGATTACAGACTCACGGCGTTGACACCCTCAGGGCACTGCGCCGCTAACAGACAACCTACGTACGCCTCCATGCCCACCGGGCGGTATATCCAAACCTCGCCTTCCTCCAAGTTCGACAGATCATACGTCGCCCACGCCGGTGGCTTCCCCAGACTCTGCTCAATCACCTCCAACGTACCCATCTCCCTCGGCGCCACCGCCAGCCCGTCCCTCACCGCCGCGCGCGGCACCATCTCGCTCACGATCACCGCCGTATGGTCCGGATTCCCCAGCATCGCCCACGAATACGCACCCTTGCCCACGCGCGCCGTCCGCCACTCCACGATGTCGCCCCGCCGCACGCGGTCGTCGCCCCCGCGCCAGCGCCCCGCCTGCACGCGCCCCTTCTCCGCCGCCGTGCCCTCGTACATCAAGTGCCCGTGCGTGCGCGAGATGCTGGGCACGGGCGCGGGCACCCAGTCGTACTGCGCGAAGCTCTTGAGCGCCTCGTTCGCGAGGTCCCAGCACTCGCCGCGCGCACATGGCTGGTTCGTGCCTTCGAAGCTCTCCGCGTATCCCGCGACGGTCTCGCCATAGGTCTCGTGCGCGTCGAGCAACGCCGCGTGGTCCCAGGGTTTGGGCCGCGGGAGGAAGCGCGCGGTGCGTACAACGGTGCGCGGGTCGTTCGGGTCGTGCGAAGGCGGGAGGTTCTGTGGCCAGGCGACGGTGTAGAAGCACATACTGAGGTCCGCGAAGACCACGCCGGCGAACAATGTCTTGGTGCGCCCATCGGAGGACCAGGAGGCTGTCCACGTAAGCTGGTCATTGCCACGGATGGGTGGGGCGAGCAGGTCGGAGTCGGAGGTGTACCAGGTGGAGGTCCAGTGCGTGGAGGGCAGAAAGTAGTGCGCGAGATCTTCCGCGAGGGAGGCGTGTTCGGATGGGGGAGGGTAGGACATGAGGCCTTCATTAGCGGCAATAGAGGCTATATGCTGTTAGGAAGGGCATGTACAATTTGATGATAGATCACGGTACCTTGGGACGACATTGCAGACGGTCGTGGAGGCGCCATCGGACGAGAGGCTACGGGCAACTTGGGCTAGAAGCGCACAGTCCAGTCGAACGCACCTCTACGAGCTCATGAAGTACGACTTACAGGAGGAAGTTGTCCGCCGCTAATCTGCTCTACACTGTCCGTTGTGGTCCGCGGCGGGATAGGCTTGCCCAGATACCGCGAGAAGAACTCATCCAGCCAGCCAAAGAACGCCTGCTTGTCTTCCGGTGACAAATTCGCCCAGTCGATCTTGTTGATACCAGCCTCCTCGGACTGGGCCTTTCGTACGGGCGGTGGAGGCGCAAAGCTCCGGGGAGGGGGAGAGGGCTGGTCCGGACGTGTTTCCCGGCGAATGAGAGGAGGCGGTCCCGGCGCAAGTCCTCCCGATATTGACGGGGATGGACTGGGAGATACACTGCTTGCATTGCTGTTGAACGACCTTGGTGGCGGTCGAGGGGGAGGACCTGGGTTGACCCCGTTCTCCTGGCTCACATTGCTGATCGAGCGGGCAAGAGTAGGGTTGGCGGATACGCCAAATTTACGCACAGGCACAGGAGGTTTGTTCACTATACCGGGGGCGCTGCTCGCAGACGAACCGGTCCTCGAAGGAGGCGGGGGAGGCTTGTACACCGGTTTCGCCAAAGGCGCGGGGGGAGGCGGCGGCTTAGCCTTGACATCCGCGTTCCAGTTTATGTTCTTGCTGGGCTGGCTGGACATGCGATCCTTGGTGTTCGAGAGCGAGCTCACGCCGGCATCCTTGACCTTTACAGCCCTGCTGCGTAACTCTAGTGCCATGTGCCGCACCGATGCGAAGGGGGCGATGGTGGGTTCACACCGGGGCGATGGGGGCAGCAGTCAAGTTCACACACCGCACGTGGAGCATCTCGAGCACGCTCACCTGCTAACGTGGGCATCCTGGGATGATTGACTCCCTGGAGGGCGGTAAAGGGTCCGAATGAGTTCAAATGGCAACTGCCAAACTTTGACTGCGCTGATGAGGTCCCAGACTCCCTGATGAGGCGTCAGTTGATGGCAGCCGGTACTGTACCGGTAGACAGTCAAGACTGAACAGGTTCTTCGGCGTGATACAGTATAGGAGGAAGAAAGGATGCGTGTTGTCCGAGATGTCTGTCGCCGTCGTGGTACAAGTCGTGTGTCGAAGCCGGTTCGGCTGCGCTCTGCTGTACTCAACAGAGATTAGATTAGATCTGACGCTAACGCTGCACCTTGAACTTCAAGGGCTCGGGACTCAGGCTGCTGCCTGCGGTATACTACAATCGTTTGTGTTCTGAGCTCCAACCTACAGGTTGTTGCCAGTTGCACGGCGACTGAGAGTCAAACGGTTGCAAGCGAGAGGTTCAGAGGCTCGGGAAACAACGTCCAGAGAAACGCTGCATTTGTTAAGCATACAACACGGGCTGTGCGCAGCAGGCTATCGATACAAACAGTTCTTCAACCAATAGCACTCATTTCTTCTTGCCCGTGGTCTGGTCTGAACTCGTGATCCAGCCCTTGGGGATGCCCCTAGCCATCAGGAACTCAGACACATTCTTGATCTGCTTGCCTTGCACCATGACTTCCAGCACGTTTGGCTTTCCGTGAACGGGAGTCACTGCACGTCCAATGTGTCAGACATCAATGAAGACTGGGCTCCGAATATAGACTTACCTGTGGTAGAACTGGCACAAATCCTGCGGAGCTCGTCCGCGATCTCCTCCGCTTCCAGCCCAAACGGCTCGAAGCCCGTGATGAGCGTGCACGCCTTCCGGCCCTGGCGGATCTTCACTACGACCGAGACCGGCTTCATCTCCCCCTTCCTGACAGGCGAATGCATGTAAGCGGGCTATCATCGGTATGCGAGGGCCATAGACGCACTTTCGGACGATATCTCGACCTTCAGCGGTAATCTGGTGCCAGGCTTGCATGTGCGCGCGGACAAGCTTCAGGACCTCGTCGCGTTTCATGAACTCCGGCGTGTCCTTGCCCTTGGTCGAGACCGCGCCCGCGAGGGCCTCATCCGAGCCGACGTTGATATATTGCTGGTCGTTCGCGTTAACGAGGCGGCGCGAGGAAATGTAATCGGTCACGATGGTCTTTATGTCGTTGATGCTGTAAAACCCCGACGTGCTGTAAAGCGGGACGGCTCAGTACGAGCGTCGAAGACTGCTAGTAGAGAGCTTACTCCTTTCCAGCAGTGACGAAGAAAGGCACGGTCGTCCCGGACGGCTGCCAGAGCTCCGCGACCTGGAATTCGCCCTTCCGTTTCTCCTCGGCTTCGCGTTCTTCATTCTCTCTGGTCTCCGCTTTCTTCGCCCTGGCTTCCATATCGCCCACCGTGCGGTGCGAGTGGTGACCGGCTACGTCTGGGTGCTTAGGGAACACAGCTACAGTGGTTTCCGGGTAGGATTAGCATGGGTGACGTTAACACCTCGTAAACGGACCCACCGGTGACCATGACGTCGCTCTTAGTTTCCTTGATCTTGATGAGACCGTCTTTCGCTGAATTCTTTAAAAAGGTCTTGACGTTCTTGAAGGTAGACTGTTTCACGTCAATCGCGCTCAAGTCTGTACTCGTGAACAATCACCGGTGTGATGAGCATGGGTGGGATAATCACTGTCGGAGAGGATGGCTTACCGGCCAGACCATACGTGCCGAGCGCGTAGGCGGGGCGCGCGGGCAGAACGTAAGTACTCCAAAACGTTGAAGCAGTCATCGGGAAGCTCGACGGCGGTAGGCCAGATAATGTTGTAGAGATCGCTTGCAACAGCGCTGCTCTCAGGATGAAGGAGATGTCTGCGCAAGGCTGCCAGTAAGCATCATAGGCCGACAGTACATTCGACAGACAGACAGACCTTCTGGTGTCAACTTGGCTGCACTAGTGGAAGAGCCTGCTTCTGGGGAGGGATTGACCGGCTGAGTCTCCGCCGCCGGTTTTTGGTCATTCAATTCCTCTGATGGTGCTCCAGCAGTCTCATCTGGCGTAGCATTAGCATCCGCGGGCGAGTCCTCTTCGTCATCCGACACGTCCGCTTCGGAGGCCTTGAGTTCCCTCGGGGCCGGAACCTCCGTCTTCTTGCTCGGGCCCATCTCCCATAGCGCATCCTTCCACGTGTGCAAGACGTATACTGCTTTTCCCTTCACGTCGGTTTCTTCCGCCGATCGCAAGATGTCGGACGAAACGGCCATGGTCCCCACTGCGAGTGGTGGTCCGATCGCGCCGCGATGGTATTGGGTTACCGACACGAGCTGGTCCGGGGACAGCGTAGGCGAGTGTTGGACCACTTGCTTGGGGAAGAACATGTGATCAGCGGGGACTAGTGGAAGGAGCGGAATCGTAGAATATCACCTCCCGGAATCATAAGATCAGCGCCGCCGACAAGCTTAGGCACGACGGGAGCGGGCGTAGATAGAAAAGGTAGGAGGTCCGGTCGTTTCCAGAGCGTGTACACTGTTCAACATGAGGGTGAGCACGCAGCAGTACGTGGGTGGTGCCGGCGTGTATTACCTGTAGGGATCAAGTCGTCCGATCCTTTGCCGATGGTGAACCACAAAGGGTCTCCCTCCGGAGACAGATATGCTACCTGTCGAAACAAGGCCCTCAGCAGCGTGCATACAGCCGCACAGGCCGTCGTGGACACATACGCCAGGCTCATCGAGGTGAGTGCTGAACTTCTGCAGTTGCAAGCCATCCGGGACGAGTACATCCCCTTCCTCTGCTTGCAACACAGGGAAAGACTGGAGGACGCGCTGCCTGAGCTTCCTTCGATCTGAGCTTCGTATGGGTGCTGATTTTGCAAAAAACGTGAGCCTCAGGCTGTTGCAGTAGTGATGGGGGAGAGACAAGACTTGCCAGAGGTCTTGAGCTCAGAGAGCGGTTTTTTGAACATGTTTTTCTCTTCACCGGGATCTGGTTGTGGTTTCTCTGAGGGCCGTCAATCAACTCTCAGCTACATGCGGCTGAAGGCCGGATACGAGCTTACAAGGCGACAGAGAAGGAACAACCTCCGGGTTACCTCCCACCGATCGATGGCCGCAGTGCCACCGATGCTCACCGGTCACTTTGCCGCTGATGTCGCAACAATGTCAGTCCAACCTTCCTACATCAATAGCAATATAGACGAGGAGATTAATGAGGGTGGTTCACAAAATGCGAACTGAGGGCAGCCCGGAAGATGGGGAGCTATCCGCCCAAAAAAAAATGACCACCGCAGGGGTCGAACCTGCAATCTCCTGATTACCTAAGACTACAGGTTTGACCCCTGAGATCGTAGTCAGACGCGATGCCATTTCGCCAGGCGGCCATAGAGTTTGTGATAACCTAAGTCTATCATGTAATAAGGCCATGTAGCCATGGGGTCAATGCTAACAAGGTCACTAATTTGTGTATATTTTTCACCGGATAAGTAAGTTACCGGCGCTGCCGGCCGTAAACCGGCCGCAGTCCGCAAATTCGCGCGAGGCGGCTGCGATCATACGTGACCACCGCCATGTGCAACACTTTCGGAGGTACTTACATACACCGGTACCTGCGCCAGGGAGAGCTCGTCGACCACTGAATATCGTGGCGGCAACGTCGATCTCTCAGGTGAGTCAGCAATTCGCTATATATGTTAGTAATGTGCACAATTTCATCAGGCTATGTCCTCCTGATGGTACTACCCGTCAAACGCCGCAATAAGCCTGAGGCTGCTATCCTTCATACTTTGACCTCGACCTCACCATGGCCCACGTTTCGAGAGCACCGCAGTTGTCAGTGTATACCACACTCCATGACGAAGATATCTTGGACTGTCTCTTCGATACACTAGAGTCCCGCTCTAAGGGCTTGGGTCGGCGCACTCTCGCAAGCTGCGCGCTGGTTTGCAAGTCCTGGTCGGATCCCGCGTCGCGAGCATTATGGCGAAGACTAGACTCGTTCCATCCTCTCTGGGCCTTGTTGGCAGGACGCAACTTCCAGCCTTCGGCGAAGCGACTGACTGAATTCTGGCAGGTCAGTTGACCCGCAACCCACTCCTGCGCTCACTAATTACTATCATATAGGTCGTTGAGCCAGAGGTGTTCGTGAAGCAAATCCATGTCAAGGAACCTGACCTATGGGATCATTTTCTCCGTCGTGCCTCCTACGTTCGAGAGATAGGAACGGCGTCGTGTCGGGAGCCTGAGCTCGCCCTCATGTGCGCCGTGATTCAACAGAATGGCGGGCGTACATTCCTCCCTACCCTGCAGAAGCTAGTTTGGAGAAACGGCATACATTCCGATACATCTCTCCGATTCTTGGTCTCATCCTCGCTCCGGGGCCTGGAGCTAGATGTTACGACCTTCACTTCGACGATCACCAGCGGTGGGCTCGAACATGCGTTTACGGCACCCATCATCGACCAGACCTACCCCGCTATGCTCTTCGCAGGGCTCCCAAAGGCAGCGCCAAACCTCCAGCGTCTCGTCATCACAGGACGGCAACTATCAAGTTTAGATGTGATCCCTAACATCCTGGGGTTTGAACGCATGCGCGAGCTCTCTCTGTTCAGAGAGGTCCTTGTAACGCCAGGCGCCTTTCAGTCCATTTTGACGGCCATGCCCGCTCTGGAGCTCCTGAACGTGCGCTTACAGGACTTCACCTCTCCCTTAGGCATGGCGTACTCCCCCTCTCTACGGGTTCTCAGCATTCACGGCGCCGCGCGGTACATCACGGGCCTTTTCACATCCTTCTTCGACGCACCATCCTTGGACAGCGTGTCCCTCAATGTGGAAGACGAGGCGTACTCCGCGGACCATCCACGCTGCCTGCACGCCCTTTCCAAGACCAGCTTTGCCCCGTCCCTGCGCGAGCTCCGGTTGCGCACGCTCGTCCAACAGGATCCTGATCAGCCCCCTTCGCTGGCGGACACGATGGAACACCTCGCGGAGCTACGTGCGCTCGAGGTCGCCGAGCTGCATCTCCAGGACACGTGGACGCGCATTGACGACGATGACATCCGCGCGATCGCCCGCGCATGGCCGCGCCTGCAGCGACTCCAGCTCGCGTACATCCCCTCGAACAACCTCCCGCCCCTCATCGCGCTGCGGCACTTCGCCCAGCACTGCCCGGAGCTGCGCTACTTGTACATCACGAAGATGGGCGTACCTACGGTTACAGAGGAGGCCACTTCTGAGCTAGAAGGTTCGGGTGCGGGGATCAAGCCCGGGGACCACCCGATGCGGACGCTGGATATGCGGATGACGTTTGCGGGGATGGGGTCTTACGACGTCGCGGGGATCGCGCGTTTCATCGATGGCCTGTTCCCGAACTTGGAGCTGAACGCGGCGGACGCAAATGGGAACGCCTTTGCTGTGATGGCGGGGGTGTGGAACAGCATCGAGAGGGAGATCCGCAAGCTGAGGACGCAGAAGGGTTCACAAGGATAAGGGCGGTATGCACATGTTCAGTTAAGTCATTTGTGTCTTGCTTTTTGTATAACTGCACTCCATATATTCTGCCTTCTGTCGATCGGTTTGTCCCATGACATCCAATCTTGCCATATTGATTGCGAACGAGAGCACAGTGAGTATCTATGACACAGAGCACGACCACAAACAAAACCCGAGTCCCAAATCATCGGCCTACAAGCACACTGATCCTAAAACAAATCACCCGTAATCCAAGAGAAATCGGCCAACGAGTGCGGTTACTCGAAGTCGTCCAAGTCTGGCTCGTCCCCGGTCTCCTCCAGATCAAAGCCCGCCACGTGCAAGATCGTCGCAAGCTGGGACAACATTGGTTAGCAGACCGCGTCGTACATGGTTGCGGTCGGTCTCGCCCCACGTACCTCAACCTTTGCGATTGATCTGATCTGGTCAAAATCGTAACCCTCACGCTCGCTCACATCCCCTATACGAACAGGTCAGCAAAGCTCGCAGCGATATAAAGCGTGGCGAGCGCACCGGTGCTATGATACATTGGGTCCTTCGGGAAACCCGCGCGCTCATACACCTGCGCTGCAGGGAACCCTTGTTCATGGAAGCTCTCATGGTCGCTCCCTCCAGGCTAGTGGCGTATGCATATGAGCATGCTGGGCTCCATAAACGCGCAGAAATAACTCACATATGGTAGGTAGCCGACTGTGAGTTCCGGGCTGTATATGGCTGAAATGTTTGCTAGGATCTGCGTGAGCTCAGCTGTCCCAAGCCTAAGGTACCCGTACATAACGTGGCAGTGAGCGGCCAAGTCATGGGATAAAAAGTACGACACTGACAATGTAGGGTCAGACAGCCCAAGCTGCGGAGGCTCGCCCAACACGCGGTACGCAAGCATATCCGCCTGGATCATCATGGTGATATTCGCGCCTTGCTCCCTGAGCTCGCGCGCGTACGCCCTGGAGCCGACCATACCCTGCTCCTCACCCGCGAACGCGCAGAGCAGCACGTTCGCGCGGAACACCACGTTTCGCCTCGCGATCGCGCGCGCGATGGCGAGCAGCGCCCCAGTCCCCGACCCGTCATCGTTCGCGCCGGGGGCACGCACCTCCCCGAACGACCCGCGATCGTCATAGTGGGCTCCGAGGATGACCGTCTCAGTCGTGTCCGCAGACCCAGTGAATCTACTGTGCGGATCGATAAGTGAGCAGGGTCATCCTCCTACCCATGAGTCATGGGGACGACATACCAAATGACGTTCGGCGCGAAGCCCACCATGAAGGACCGCAGCTCACACGACGCGCCGGTCGCCTCGAACTGGCTCTTCAACCACGCGGCCGCGCGCGGTGCGTCCTCCGAGAACGAATGGCGCGTCGCGAGGTCCGACGCGGGGTCCTCCCCAGACAGGTACCGCACGTCCTTGACCAGCCGGCGCGCCGAGATGCCGTTCACGATCGACGCGACGACGTGGTTGAAGCGGATCGCCGCGAGGGCTTCCCGTAACCGCTCCTTCGCGCGCGGCGGGACCGGGACGAGCGGGATCGGCGAGGCGGGGAAGGCCGCGGAGCGCCAGTAGGGCGGGAGGCGGGCGTCGAGGGTGCGCACGACCGCGTCGCTCGCGGAGAGCAGCGCGCCGTCTGGGCCGCGGTGCAGGACGTCGAGCTGCACGCTCTCGTTCCATAGCATCCGGAGCGTCATTTGTAAAGCATTGTCTCCGACGCTGTCGTCCTGCAGCTGTGGCTGCCGCAAGTATCCCAGTAGTGCGTCGAGTCCGGAGTCGCAGGCTGCTGTACCGATGAGCGAAGGATCCACAGGCCTGCGCCCGACCCACACCAGGTTGCCCTCCTCCTCGTTCAGCCTCACGGCGGTGCCGAGCTGCAGGAGACTGAACGAAGACTCCAAGCACGCGCGGTCGGCTATGAATGCGCGCTTAGCGCCGTAGGTTCCGTAGTATGACCGGTGCAGGCAGTCGTACGCCGCGGGCACATCATCCGGCAGGTCTCGCAGGGAGACGAGGAGGAGCGTGAAGGGCGCGAGACCGTGGAAGCGCATCCCGCGGCGGTTGCGGTGGTGGTGGTACTGGAGAAGGAGTAGTCGGTAGAGAGGGTTTGGGTTTGGCGGACGAGAAGGGCATCTAGTGGTCGTGCCGACATCATGCCGGCGGCGTGGTGGGCGCAGTGCGGTCTCACACTGGTAGGAGGCCTGTCATGCTTGGCGGAGTACAGCATACTGTAGGATACTGGACGTCATGTCCTCGAGGAGGAACTGTATTGCCATAAAGTTAGGACGTGGACACGAGATCCTGCTGGACAACGCTCACCTCATGGTAGCGCGATGAAGTGACCAAAGACGCCGGCGCCCGTAATGTGCCTCACTACGTCCGAAGGCATGGGGATAGCCTTGCGTATGGTTATCATCGAAGTAAGTACTACAAGTTAGAGAGGCGGGTTGGGGCTGTGCACGATGTTGCGCCGTCGAGCCTGGCTTGGCCACACGCGTGTTTCCGAGTCAGGCCACACTTACCCGCATGCTCGGTCCGCCCACAGCGATGTATGTATGGCTGAGACCTCCAAGTACTAGTATGCACTAGCTACTCAAACCACAGCGCAGGCCAATCCAGCGAGTATAAGCACATTCTTCATATTGCGCGAGGGTGTCTCCGGACGCATCCGGGACGAAAAGGATACAAATAATAAGCCCAGTCCCCTCTACTCCTTCTATCCTCCACAGCAGCAGCAAGAGACGTAGGCAGTCGTAAGGCGAAAGGGATAAGTTATCGAGCGCAAAGCGGCGTCGAAAAAAAGAGGTGGCGGGGTAGTCGTGGAGCCCGGAGAGGGCGCGTCACGACGCGAAGGCGAATGTTAGGGGTCGTGGTCGTGAATCGTGAGGGCGGTGCGGCCGCGCTAGTAGTAGTAGTGTAGTCGGTCGGGCGTGTCTGTCCGAAAAGCCCGGTAAGCGACCAGTTAAAGGGTGACGAGGAGAGAGTGCCGCACAATGTCGTGAAGGATACCCAGCTGGACGGGAGGGCGCGCGAGCACCTTAAGCAATGACGCAGCTGCCGCTGTTCCCGCTCGTGCCGACAGAGTCGTAGTCCGTGAACTCGGCGCCCGCGGGCTCCTCGACGGGGACGGGAGAGGCGATGGTGAAGAAGGCGTCCATTGCAGCAATGAGGATGGGCGGGTTGGGAAGAGTGGGGAAGGAGGAGGAGGGCGGAAGTTTGAAGGGCGGGGGCGAGTGGGTGATTTCGCTGGAGGACCTCTGCGCCCTCCTCCAGCATATTTATACGCAACTCGTCAAGAGCGCACGCCCTTGTGAGCCCTTGTGGCGGGCCCCCCGAATGCGGGCCGAGAGGTATGCCGGCGGCGAGCGAGACAATAAGGCAGGAGGTCTGATGCGCCACGCCCGACGGTAATGACCCAATGGGGTGCGCGGGCGATGGCAGATCTTGTCCACGGAAGGCCCACACCGCGGTGGAGGGTGTTGCGCCGCGGCGCGCGGGCGGCACTGGGGTCTGAAAGACAATAACTAAGGGGAGATTAAACGCGTCAGGAGCGCTATCGCATCCATCGTGTTCTGCTCACCTCGTACTAGCGAGCGTGCTGCGCACGGAGGCCTGCGCTGTGCGACTTGCGTAAACCTGAACTCAACGGTAGTTCGACGCGACATTGATCGTGCGGCCGGGGAGATGAGGCGCACGTGTCGGAGGTTATTGTGTTTGCGGGCGCCTACGCGATTTCTGCCACCCTCTGCCACCGCGTATTCGGACCGGCAGAGGGCAGAATTCCGTGCCACCGATGGATCAGAAAGGGTGAAAACCACTGCGTCTTGTTGTGTCGGGAGTGTGAGGGAGAGGTGGCCGGTTCCGGTGCGCCCGAATCTTCCAGGCCTCACCGTTACCCGACTGTGCCTCGCTCCTTCGTGGCGCTCTGCCCTGAGATTCGAATCGCAACAGTATCTCATGTAAATCCCATGCCATTGCCAGAGCGTCGGACCTTAGCGTGCGTTGGTCCTCGTTCGCTTCGCTTCACCTGATCCTGTAGTCAGCAATCGGGCGTGACGTTCTAAGTGAGCAATGACGCAGCTCACATTTTTCGGAACACGAAACAGGCCTGAGGGTTTGGAGCTTTGCGCCCATAACGAGCGAGGACCGGCCGACGTTGATAGAAATCAGGACTCGGCCTGCCTTGGTCGTCGGTGGTTGGTCGGCACGTATGAACGGCCGAGTTCCTAGACCTTGAACTCGTGGTATACGAGGCTAGAATACCTCGAAGGATCTCCTCCTTTGCCGCACACCGACATATCTTCTCAACCTCTTTCACTGCTGCAGGGCGACTGGCCTGCCATACGGACCACTCAGAGTTGCAGGGGCGCCTCCCCAAAAGCACCTCTGGGCCGAACGCCGACCATGGCCTCAAGCTCACCATCGAGCTAGACTGGCGAGGGATTTTTCTCAAGACTGGCCAGATCTTTCCCAAGGGCTCCCTAGCGTCACTACTTCAGTTGAAGGTGAAGGAACAACTCGCCATGGGGACTCTTCAGCGTTCAACGTCCAATATCTTCCGCGAGCCCATGGTTGCTCCACGCGGGGCGCGAGCTGTCTGCAGCTATCTGGGCAGGTGCAAGGAAGACGTTGGGAATGTATACCACGACAGCCCAAACTACGCGTAAGTTCAGCGAACTGTCTTGCGTGTTGTTCGGGTGACATGGGCAGACTCCCTAGGGAAGAATACCGACCGTGAAAAGACTCGAACGCCGGTGAGATAGGCGTTTGTGAAGCTCTATCTTGACTTGCGTTCATCGGGGACAACTGAAGGAGATCGACGCACGTATAGTGCTCCGTCCTCGGCACAGGTCAGATCCCCGCGTACTTCAATGTAAAGCCTGACTCTGGACCTGAACATAGAAGGTGCGTCGACGTCGCGACATCCGAGCGCGTGGACTAGTCTTTGCAGAGAACGTAAGCATCTCGACAGATTGTCATGACCGACGGAACGTGGGCGGGATATGGATCGCCGAGGTCTGGTCGCCCCGACGCGCTGTTTGGTGAGTTGGACGTACTCGTCGGAGTGCGCATCAGCGCTGCACGCTGCAAGGATCGTCGGGATGCCCATGTAAGGCAAGATCGTCGGGAACACGAGGACAAAAGCGGGAGGAGGAGGAATCGATATGAGGAACGTTGGTGGGTCGGGACAAGTTCGGCGTTCTGTCGTCGACCTTCGCCTCGACGCGCTACTGCGCCCGGCGCTACACGTGACGTCACCGATGGAGGTGATCATTGGTGAAAAGCCTAAAGTCGACCTCTCTCGATCGTTCTCTACCCTCCTCTTCGTTCTCTACCACCACCATCTCCCCAACGATGAGCTCGCTCAGACACCACAGGGTTATCATCGCGTCCCTCTTCCTCCCCAACACCGCCGTCCTCGGCGACTCCGCGCCCTCCTCGCCCGATGAGCCCGGCCTCCAGACTCCGGGCTTCGCGCCCCAGACGCCGTCCGTACGGCCTCCTCTCGCCCCTCGGGCGACAGGTCCGCTCAAGAGCATCGTCGAAGATCTCAAAGACAAGGTACGCTCGCGTTCAGATGGTGATTCGTACATATTGCCGTTATATTCGGAAGTCGGGTCTGCTGTACCGGGCATTCTACCGGAGGCGCTTATGATGCATATATGTACAGACTAGCGAAACGTCAGACTGATACAGAGCGTGTCGAAAGCGGAGCGGCGTAGGTCGATGTAACCTACGACGCGTCGAATTCGTCTCAAAGCTGTAGACACAGTGCCCGGTCCGAGATCGTTCATTATATACGTCGAATGGATATCTGCTTACCGTGTACATCCTGGACTAACGTCAACTTTACAGACTCGGAACCCCACCCCTTCGATCACGCCGCGAGTCGAGAGCGCGAACCCGTTTTCGAGCTTTCCAGGCCTCACACTTCCGTCTGGTAGCAGCCTCACGAGCGCCGCGTCGGCAGCGGCGGATTCCCTCATCGACGCCCTCTCCAACAAGCTTGCAGGAGGCGCCCCCAAGACCCCCGGAGTCAGTGGAGTCAGCACTCCCGCGCCCCACATCGCCCGGCAATACCAGACTACGCACCACGGCAGCAACGCTGGTCAATCTCGTGTACAGCGCCGCCAGTCCCGCTCGACAGCTCAGCGCAACTCGTCTCGTTCGCTTTCCTCCTCTCGAATGGACCCGAGCTTGAACAGCCACAAGTTCCACTTTGAGAGCAACCCTCACGTGAGCTACCCGTATGTCGCGTCGCATCCTAGTGTTGACAGTGTATGCAGTGCAATGGAGGACTCAAGAACGCTGTCGAGAGCGTCGGCGATAGACTGAAGCGCAAGCTCTGGATCGGCACTCTTGGCCAGAACACCGACGGCTTCCGTGAGAGCTTACGGCGCAGCATAGAATGGCGCATGCGAGAAGAGCGCAACAGCGTACCCGTCTGGATCTCTGACTCCGACTTCGCTAGCTGCTACGACGAGTTCTGCCACCAAGTTCTTTGGCCGGCACTGCACTACGCGGTCCCGGACGCACCAAAAACCAAGTCGTTTTACGAGAGTGCAGCTTTCAAGCAGTACATCGCCGTCAACCAGCGTTTCGCGGACACTATCGTCGCCACGTACCAGGAGGGCGATATCATCTGGGTCAACGACTATCATCTCATGCTCTTGCCTCAGATGCTCCGCGACCGTCTCCCTGGAGCTCCCATTGGCTTCTTCCTCCACGTTGCTTTCCCCTCTTCGGAGATCTTCCGCTGCCTGAGTGTTCGTGAGGATCTTCTCAAGGGCTTGCTCGGGGCGGACCTCCTCGGTTTCCAGACGGCGAATTTCGCTCGTCATTTCCGACAGACAGTGAGCCGTATTCTATCTGCCGAAGCCTTGCCGAAGGGAATCCAGCTGGATGACCGATTCGTTGACGTCGGCGTTTTCCCAATGGGCATCGACGTTGCCAGTATTGCCAAGAAGAAGTAAGTGCTTAAAACTACATGACTTATTGGAATGCTCTGACGGAATTTTAGACGCGAGGCTGAGGTGACGGAATGGGTCAAGTCGCTCCGCCAGCGCTACGCGGGCATGAAGCTTATCGTCGGACGTGACAAGTTGGACGTCATCCAGGGCGTACGACAGAAGATCCTCGCCTTCGAGGCGTTCCTCGACAAGTACCCCGAATACCAGGGCAAGGTCGTGCTTATTCAGGTCGCGCTCCAGACGACAGAAGAGAACGAGGCACAAGGTGGCGTCGCGGACGTTGTATCGCATCTCAACTCCCGCTTCTCGACCCTCACATACCAGCCGGTCGTGTTCCTTCACACGCAAGATCTGACGTTCAGTCAGTACCTCGCCCTTCTCACTGTCGCGGACGCGTTCATGGTGACCAGTGTGCGCGAGGGCATGGCTCTGCGTGCGCACGAGTTCGTCGAGTGCCAGGAGAAGAGGCACCGTCCGCTCATTCTGAGCGAGTTCACGGGCTCGTACAGCTTCAGCGGCTTCCGCTCCTGCATCCCCATCAACCCCTGGGACAAGCGCGGGACCGCGAAGGCGATCCACCAGGCGCTCACGATGACCGACGACGAGGCGACGTCGCGCTGGGAGGACCTCCACAATCACGTCGTCACGCAGACCGCGCAGGCGTTTGTCACCTCCTTCCTCGTGCGCTGCCTGCGCTCGAACCTCGAGCACATGCAGTCCGACTCCATCTCTGTCGCTGCGCTTGACGTCTCTCGCGTGCTGCCGCGTTATCGCCACTCACAGAAGCGGTTACTCCTCATCGACTTCGAGGGCACACTCTGGGAGCGCGACATGCGCACGATCGCGCGCAACGCCGGAGTCCGGGAGAGCCCTTCGTTCGAGCCGCCAAAAGCCGCGATCGACGTGCTCAACAAGCTGGCGGAGGATCCGCGCAACGAGGTGTGGCTCCTGAGCGGGCTTCCCGTCAAGGGCTCGCTGGAGATCGTGGCGGAGAAGGCACCCCATGTCGGGATTGTGTGCGTATTATCACCTCCGGGTATATCGGGATCGATGCTCACTCTGACATAGGGCTGAGAACGGCTGCTTCATCAAGCCGCGTCCCGACCGCGACGGCAAATCCAACTGGATCAGCATGGTCGCGAACTTCAACCTGACGTGGAAGGCGTCATGCCTCGAGATGCTGCAATACGTATGTATCTCCTAGTGCCTCGACGCCTACGAATGATCCTGACACGTTCTCCGTCAGTTCACTGAGCGCACACCCGGATCATTCATCGAGGAGCGTGAGGCATCCATCGTCTGGCGCTTCTGGACGGAGAAGAACGTCGAAGACCACGCGTCGGACTGGCAGTGGGCACGCCGCCAGGCGGCCGAGGCACAAAACCACATCTTCGACTCGCTCGGTGAGCGGTACGGCCTCCGCATCATTCCCGGCTCGACGTCCTTCCTTGTACTCCCCAACAACATCTCGCGTTCGACGGCAGTCGGCGCGATCCTGCACCCCGGTGGGCCCGCGCGCGCCGGAGCGGCCCATGCCGCTCACGCTTGGCTCGCGCACGAGGTGACGGAGGACACCGACACCGAGTTCGACTTCGTGTTCGCGGTCGGCAAGGACGAGAAGCTGATGCGCCGCCTCAACGAGCTCGACAACGCGGAGACGTGCTCGTCGGGCGGCGTGAAGGGCACGGACGCGAAATGGAAGCTCGAGCTCGAGCAGGTTCTTCCTGCTCTCCAGCGCCTCGCGGAGACCAAGTGAGCTCGGGCGCAGGTGCGGGGGATGGATACACGAAACGTAAGAGAAAGAGAAGAAGAGCAGTATAATGTGATGTACATTGGATAGAAACTGTAGACTACTGGTGCTGAAGCGCTGACTCCTGGACCGCTGCGAACCTGCTCTGTTGTAATAGACGTGAACCTATAGCGATATACACGTACGTTTGAGCTTCCTAAGCTTCCTGCGTGTCCTGCTCCTCCATCTAATCGCGATGTCCATTGCGCTTTTCATGCAACACGCCTGTCACGCTCGATCGGCGGGGCTTGTAAACCTCCCCATCGCGTCGATGCTGAGATCATGTTACCGAATTTGGCAATAGCTATACTGAACGCCTCGGCAAATCTCAGCAAGCGCCGGCGCATGCCTGAAAACTGGGTTGGCCACTGCCGTTGTTCGCTCGAAAGAGACTTTACCAGGTAGCGTGAGTGACAAATATAATCTATTGTCTCTATTCATGGCATCTAGAGACTTTTGGGACAGAGCCATACGCGTAAGGTCCTTATGGGCATGCTATAGTTAAGTCTATACGGATGTCACATACTGGGTCCAGGCACACGGTCGGCAGTGGCGCCAAAAATTCTCATCATATTCTGCTATACATACAATACAATCGCCTCATGAAGTCCAAAATCGAAAGGGATAATGTTATGCGGGGTGCGCGTGGCCCCCCAAAGGAAGAAATGTCCGAAAAGTGACCCGTATGACAGATAGGTCGAGCGCTCGCATGTCGGGAGGCGTGGACCGGATAGGATGTGTCATGTGCTGAAAAACGAGGTGAGCGACCCTGCGGCAATACGTGAAGAATAGACTACACGCACGGGTGAGGATCGGGGGCTCAGGCAATGACGCAGCTGCCGTGATTTCCGCTGCTTCCGACGGACTCGGCGTCGACGAGGATGTCCTCGACAGTCTCCGTGGCGTCGGCGGGGACGGGGGGTGCGATGGTGAAGAATGCGTCCATGTCGTGTGGTGGGTGTGGGTGCGAAGAGTGAGGTCGCGGGTAGGGCAGCTCGGGGTAGTCGTGAGACTGGGGATGTTCAGAAGCTGTGGGGTGTCCAACGGGCCTCGTGTTGGGGCTTTTATACGCCTCCAACCCCAGCATACGCAGCGCAATAGGGGTCCACGGAGGTCAAACGTCGTCCTGCATACTTGACGGCCCATGCGCGAAGACGGGACGAGAATAGCGCCGGCCGAGAGGCGTACGGAACTCGGGCACCCCGGCGATTGTTGGCATAAGCAGCGGTGAAGTTGAAGCGAAGTGCGGCGTATACAGTTTCGTGGCGGCTGGGTGTACATCTTGTTTGTGTAGAGGAGGCTTTGTCGTTCGGGTCGACTCGGAGGTTTCTTGTGTGCATTCTGCGTGATCGAGCGAGTCTAGACGGGTTTGCTTGCTGCCACAGTCCAGCTCAGGCCCGTCCAGGCACGCTTTGACTGCAAGACTGTGTGCGTTCAGGAACATCCTGTTTCGTTTGAGCGACCTGGGGCGAGAGCTTCATATTTTGGGCACACGGAATCCGTTCGGACACGCCGCCTCCTGAGGGTTGTATGTTACTTGCAAATTGGAGAGATTGTTGTGTCCGGCTCAGCACTCACATGGCTTTCATTGAGACGCAGATATGGTAGGAAAGACTTGAGCTTTGAGTCCCGTTCCAGAGTGCACTTGAGTAACGAACCATCCGACGCGGCCGCGAAACCCGAGCCGGGATTGCTAGGACAAGACCTGTATTCGGCGGCCGGTGGTACGTGCATTATGCCACACCGGTTGCACCCCTGGTGACCTAGGATAAGCGATAGCTTTCGTATCCTCATTGATATGCTTCTCCAATTAGCAGCCTGTCGGATCTCACGCAGCGAAGGTACATAATACCTTTTTCAGGCCTTCGTCCTCCGTCTCTCCTGAAGAGTGCAGAATATCTGATTATATTGAGATTCAGAGAAGGAAAATAGACCCGTGTTCTGTAATATATGTCAGCTCACGCGCAGCGGAAATCATCCAGATGATGTCTTGCCTTCCATTGCGAGCTATGGTCAAGCCTTACATGACAGTGCGCATCCAAGCCGCAAGGTGGGAAGCGCCTACCTCACGTTTATACCCGGACCTCGGGCCGAATCGACCGGTGCTTATTACCGCTACCTGTGGGCGCCTGTGCCACGCGCGAGTTGCTTCTTGACGGTGATGTGGGCATCCGGCGAGTCCGCCAACTGTGTTCCAAGCGGCATTTGCGTGAGTTTTATCGGCAACACATGCTGCTATGCCCCACAAAGGACTTACCCACTCATAGAGGCAATCCACTTGATAGGCATACGCAATAGCAGTGACCAGTCCTCCTGGTTGCCGTACTATGCTACGATGGAATGAATCATCGAGTCTTAATCTGACCAGGTCGGAGGCCTTATAACTGCGGAAATGCGTTGGACCATCCTGCCAGCAATATGGGCTACGCGGCGTCGACTACACGTCTCCAACAAGGCGGTAGTCCTTTCAAGACACGATAGTATAAGCCGTGATTGCGTACTAGTGCGTACTAATGTTACTCGTGAGTCATGAGTCGTGGTGTTATACAAATGCGCATGAATGATAGTGATGTCTCTAGACGCGTCTAGGACCCTGGAAATGGCCCCCCTCTAGCCCAATGGTGCAATCCCCCTCGTCGCCATCCCGCCCCCGTCCCTCCCGTCCCCCCGCAAAAGTGATAAGTTACGCGAAACGAAGCGAATAACGATATGTGGCGCGAAGCCCATGAACGAAGATGCGGTGGTGGTGATGGTGAAGCCGTAAGAAGTCGTCGAGCGGGTGCTCGGAAAGTCGTTAAGTGATGGTGCCAACGCCCTCTATGCGCGCGCGGTGCATCAGCGTCTGCGAAGCACCATGACCGGAGAACACAACGTACCATGTGAGTCAGGCGGGCTGTCGTGGTGTTTGTGGTGCGCGGTCATGCGATGATGCAGCTGCCGTGGTTTCCGCTGGATCCTGTGGACTCGGCGTCGACGAGGATGTCCTCGACGGGCTCGTCGGCGGGCACGGGCGAAGCGATGGTGAAGAAGGCGTCCATCTCAGATATGATGTGAGGATGAGGAGATGGAGTCGAGCTGGAGAGCTGCGAGCTTGGGATGCCGGGGAGGTACGCGAGACGGTGTCGAGTTCGCTGGTGGTGCTGACGCCTTGACCAGGTATTTATGCCAGAGCGCACGCGGATACGGGACGAGTTGCGCAGAGCGCGCGGCGTTTCCAGGAACCACGCAGGGCATTGACAATAAGATGCTTGTCTAATTCCCGGTGGCACGAGTGCCTTACCGACCGCGAGGCGCGCGACAGGATCTCGGGATATCTACAGGCATCCTTTCTAGGCGTCGCCTAATCCAGGCAGACGTCAGCGAAGGGTGTGCGGAAGCGAGACGGACATAACCACACCTGTGCTCGATATCCGTCTACGTCCCATCTTTGGTCAGTTTGGCCGTCCTCCATCGGATATCGACGTTTGCCTCACTCGCTACAGCCAAAGATCAACACATACAGCTTGCCAGGGTTCCTCCGGAGACCCTCAGAGAGTCGCGCTCACTCTCGCCCGAAATCCCATACCTCGTCCTCGATAGGTCATCTGAGACCGTCCTTATTGTTAACTCGGCGCCGTCATCGGGAAATTTCGCGTACCCGTGCGGGATGAGATCCGCGGTGATCCATATACCTATTCACGAACCGGACTACGCACCGGGGATGGGACGTAGGTGCCGAGTCAGCGGGCTCCCCAAACCAGAAGACATCGTGGCCTCTGCGACTCCTTCCTCTTCTCCTCCAAAGTCCGCGCTTCTTGAGAACGTGCTTCTCGTCATCGCAGCTCTAAAGCCGCATCCTTCCCATCGTATCCTTTTCCTTGAGTTGCCTTACCACCCATCTCCCTCGAGCGCGGTGCCCGTCAACGCACCCACTGCGCCGCCTCCCCTCGGTTGACCGTTCCGTGCAACAATAGCTCTGACCGCGCCCTGTCAGCCACCGACGCCTCGCCGACGGCTGATATAGCGATATATGGCATCGCGACTACACATCGAGATGATCGCGTGTACGGCGTGCACAAATTCCCGAGCGCGTCCTTGACAATAAGAGTTGGCGCCCGTAACGCGTGCCGATTTCATCTCCCAGAAAGGCAACGGTAGTGTTCGCACCGCGCGCCTCCCTTTTTGTTTTGCGCCAGGGCGCACGACGGGGGCCTGGCCGCCCGGGGAGGGCGCGGGGATCGACTGTCTGACAAGCTTGCTCTGTGGGCGCATGATAGGCGAGGCCAGGAACAGCTGCTCATAGGTGGTGGCCAGAGGTGACATTACACATGCTCAGGACGGAGATGGGTAAGAAGGGATAAGAAGGGACAGGGCGTACGAGATGGTCTAATCCTGGCGTACTGCGCATAGAGGGCGTGGTCGATGTGATCCTTCCGATACAGGGCGTAGGGTGAGGGAATTTACGGGGTGCAATATTGCCATCTCCGAAGCGTCGACGAAAACGGCTCACGGAAGTAGTTTTCAGGCATCGCATCGAGAGATCTACGTGAGGTCGTCGTTCACTCCAGCAGTCAACTTGTATGATTCCGCCTCGTCAGTACGGGTGCACGAGATCCTGCGCTCATATTCAGTGAATGATGACAATATTGAGAATGTCATATGTACATGTGCTGACCCATCAAAGCATGAGCCAAGTGCTCATGTAAGAACATCATGTACCATCCTGACCACGGCGCTGAATGGAGCATTATAGCATAAGTAGAAGACACACTAGTGAGGACGAAGATACATAGCAAGAAACAGCGGGAGACACATCAGTACATCTACAGGACGGACACAACACAACACACCGAGAGCGACGCTACGGGATACACATAGTGGGCATGCATATATAGTAAGGGCTCCAGAGACGATGCCCCTTCCTCCGAAGTCCCAGTCCGAGCCGAGGAACAAGCATAGGTAAGTAGAAACTTGATCGCACGCAGTGAAGCTTGCTTTAGAAGCCCCCGGCGGCGCTCGCGAGCACGCGGTAGAGCGCGTTCGCCTCCTCGTAGCGGGCGTTGCGCAGCGTGAAGTGCGCCATCTCCGCCGAGTCTGCATCCGAGGCGGGGTCAACGATCGCGAACTTGATGAGCGCATTGTAGAAGCGGCACAGCTGTGGCACGAGCGGTCGACAGTGTCAGCTATTTCAAGTTCGGTCTGAGGCTGGAGGCACGAAGCAAAGCACGCACGCTCTGAACGCCTTTGGCAAATCGGTCATCGCTGACGTTGCCTGCACGTTCGTCCTGCTCGGCGCGGTCCAACCAGGCGACGCACTCGTGGATGAACCACCCGAGCACCTCCGTACGCACCAGGTCCGCGATCGTCGTGCGTCCACCCGTGGCGCCATCCGTAATAGCGGTCGCGTCGCGCAACAGACGCCCCATCAGGTCAAATGACGGCAGCGCCGGCGGGAGACGTCTGAGCACGTCGAGGTGCGTGTCCGGGCCCTCCTCAGAATCAGCCGCGAGGAGGGCGCTGACCAACGGGTGGGCGATCAGTGGATTGTTCGCGATGATGCCCGGGAGGTCGACGGAGGTCACCATCGGCGGCGCTGCCAGCTGCGGGATCGCAGGCAGGAGGGTCTATGCCAATCTCAGCATGGGCAGGCGAGTGGACGCGTGGGCACGCGTGAACGGTCAGACACTCACGCGCTGTTCCGCGATGGTCAGGACGCGGTCCCGTGCGGCGAGGAGGAGCGTCATCGCGCGCGAGAGCTTGTCCATCTCTTGATCGCGCTCCGAGGACGCGTCCTCCGCCCACCTGGGCTCCTGAGCACTTTCGCGGTTGACCAGCCGAGCGGATGAGTCGGCGTTTCCCACGCTGATCTGGTCTTAGCAAAAGCGGCGAGACGAAGGACGGAAGGGACGTACGGATCGGCGGGAAGGGGCGCGACGGTGGAGTCTTCGTCGAAAGTTAGATTGGCAGCCCTGAGCTTCGGAGGGAGAGGGGACCTGGCGAGTGTGTTGGGCGAAAAGGGACCAATCTGCGGTACAAAATCAGCGATGGGAAGAGCCCACTCAAAATACACGCACGTCGCTTCCATCTCCCTTCAGTATCTTCCATAGCACCCAAATGAGCTGCTCGTTCTCGCCGACTCCACCGCTATTGGCGACCTGCACCGCCGCGTCGCGTTCCCGGATGAAGGTCGCGCACAGCACGGACTTGAAGGGGTTTATGCTGATCGGGTGAGGCGCATACAGTGAATACAAAATATAGGCCACAAGGATCCGCTGCGGCAACTGCAGAAGACGTGACTAGTTAAGCAACGCGCCTCCCAGCGATCGCGCAAAGCGGCTCACCTCAATACGAGCATCCAGCATAGGCATAAGCACATCCAGCGCGAGTTGGAACCTCGACAGCGGCGGCACGATCTGTACGAACGTGTGCGCGGCCGTCGAGCACGGCGTCGCGCACGCGCCAGCGAGAAGTTGAGTGACGGACGCGCGGGAGTCCGCGGGCATTACGGCCTGTTGCTGCGGCTTGGTCGCGAGCGGGAGCTGGTAGTACGCAGTTTGCATCATGTCGAGAGCATGTATGTCGTGAGTTCGCCGTCGTTGCCGTCGACGTCGATGAGGTCGTGAACGTTCAGAGAGAGTCGCGCCAGTTGCGCTCGGACCGGAATTACGAGGGCGCTTCTTCTGCCGTGGCTAGCCTGCGCCATTCGCCACACTTTGTGTCTTTACCGCCATCGCTTCCTGCTCTCGTACCGCTTGAGCACATATCATACTCTTTATCATCCTGGTGATATGTCCGAGCCCGCATCGACATCAGAAGGATCAGCGGCACCCGCTAGAGGCAGAGGAAGAGGCAGAGGAAAGTCTCGCGGAGGACTCGGCAAGTACTTACGTGCCCGAGGACGCGGCCGCGGGAGAGGCCGTCCAGCCGAGTTTGGCAAGCGACTCCTTCTCGAAGATGAGGAACCGGAAGAGATCGATGACGAGGAGCAGCAGGAGGTCGAGCGCAGGTTCTCCCGCAGGCAGCTTGTCTCAAATGCAGACCGCTACGCCGAGCCTGAACCCGAGTTGAACTCCGAAGGTGAGCAAGGCACCGCGGTCACAGCGAATCCTCTCTGATGTGCTAACAGCTGCATGAACTAGGCGAGGAGGTCGTCGAGCCGGAGATTGACCTGTCGTCGTTCCTGGAACGCCAGAAGTTGTCATCTCAGCCGTCCTCCGCCCCGCCTCCGCTAGACGAAGACGATGACGTCGATACCACCTTGGCACATATCACATCCAACCCTCAAGCCGCCTCACAGTCGAAGAAGGGGCGCGTGCAGCAAATAGAGTGGGATGCCGAGCTTGAAGAGCTGAGTCGGGAAAAAGCTGCCGCAGATGCTACGAGAGGTGCGTTCTGATTTCCCGACGCGTAGGCGTAACTCATCAGGGAGCACAGACCTGAAGGCGCGTTTCCGAGCTCAGGCCGCGAAGCAACGAGGTCGTGCAGCTCCTCGCGGCGCTTCAACATCTGCGCGAAAGCGACAACCGGGTGAGCAGCTAGATGTGTGCATGACATGGCTGTTTTCTAATCGTGCTACTTCTCTACCTCAGATCACTCCTACACAGAGGCGCCGCCACTCCCAACCGACGCGCCAAAACCGGAGAAGAGCGAGAAAGCGGATATGGAGGATTTCTTGGACGACTTGCTCAACTAGTGAAGCGGCCTAACGTCAGAAGATATGTATAACATAACTGTATTTGTACCAGCAACACGGGCTTCGGTGTATAAAGAAGGCCCTCTACCTCATGTCTCGGAGCAGGCACTCAGGAGGCACCGAAGGTCAATTTACTCAGCCCTCGAAGCGAGGGACGCACACAGAACGAGGGGCACACAAAGGCGGGACACACGAAACGATTCCGTCATGCTACAGTGGCATTAATTCCAGCTATTGATACAGCAGACCTCATCGCAAGACGATGGGCACAAATACACTTCTCTCTCCTTCATTACGCATCTACTGGGGCCGGTTCCACGTCTGCTGCGTCTCGCCCTTGTCGCGGCGGACGTTGCCTGCAAATCCCAGTCAGCACCCTGTCTAGCTCAGATAGACAACAACTCTAAACACTCACCAGTCGTCTCCTGCTGGCGGTCGCCCGTGACAGCGCCAAGGACGGCGTCCTTGCGACCCCCGACGCGGTCCTTCGTGCCCTGCACGTAGCCCTGCGCCTGCGCGGCGTCGTACTCGGCCTCGCCAGCGGCGTGCTCCTGCTGGCCGGACTGCGCCCACGACTGTGACCCGGTGAGGTTCCCGACGGTCTCAACCGCGTTGCCCTTCGTCGAGTGCCACTGGCCGGTGGACTTGCTGTGAGAGGGAGTGGGAATCAGCATGGGTAAGGAGGGGAAGAGAGGCGAAGGGGAATGTACTTGGGGCCGTTGTTGTCGCTGCTGCTGAAGAAGGACATGGTGGATGATAGAGTGGTGATTTGTGGGTGTGGTGTGAGTGTGAGTGGTTGTGTGGTGAAGAAGATGCTTTGGTGAGGAATGTTCGTTCGTGCGCGGTGTTCTTATATCCTGTTCAGACTACGGATGACGTGCGAGAGTATCAGAGCGTTGCTGAGGAGTGTTGGGGTATACGCACCACCGAGATGGATATGGACCCCACTCAAGCGATGGTGTGATGTTGAGGGTTATACTGGGGACGCGCTGGTAGCATGGGATAATCGGTGGAGGTGGTGTATGGGCGGTGGGCGTGGTGGCGTAGGTGCACCATAGGTTCTCCATGAGCGAAATCAGATGGTTCCTGATTATATGTTTTCTGAGCTGCCATGGAGGTGGACGCAATTCCGCACGCAGTATGGGGGCCACGGTGTACTTCTGTACACCAGACGCCGATCCGGACAGTGACGTCATGGTAAGAACGGCGTGCTTATTTCGTGTGTACGGGTAAGTCGACGAGGCTAACTAGAATACAATGAGCACGCTATATAAGGTAAAGACGACATACAATGCGCAGTAGCAAGCGACGAGTGGAGGTACAAAAAGCAAGATGCGATATGTCAATCTGTCGTGAAACGGAAAAGTCAGTGTTATAGCACAAGTAGCAAACAACACGCCAAGTCCTCGGGGTGCTTACAAGAAAATGTTCGTACACTCAGGGGATTAGTCCGCCTATCGTACATTACTACTGTGTCCTTCATGCGAGCCCGTGGACGACATCGGCGGATAGGCGTGTTCGTCTTCCGACACCGCACTCAACGGCTCTCCCACCAACAAGTCCGTGTCGCTCTGCCCTGCATCCCCATTCGGCCTCCGTCCTAACCCCGTTCCAACCCCAACCATCCGCCCCGCATCGTCCACTCTCCCCAAATCTGCTCCTAAGATGATTCTGGCGGCCGCAGCCGCCTCCAAGTCCTGGTACCGCGGCAGTCGGTCCTTGTCGTCATACTCGGGCAGGTATTCATTCGGGTCGTCCGGGTGCGCGACCGCACCCCTCCGACCTCCGACCCCAATGTCGCCCGCGTATGTACGGCGACCGCGGCCACGACGGGGCCCGGAGTGGTGCAATAGCGGAACAGGGGTCGTGAGCGAGTCGTAGATGAGGTGCGCGGGCGGGCCGCGGCCGGGTGGGAGCCCTGTCGTGCGCGGGACGTGCGACGGACGGGAGACGGATCGGTGTGGGGGTGAATCGGGCAGAGCGCGGAAAAAGTCGCGTAGCGGGCGGTCTGTTCGGCGGAGGCGGATTATTCTGGGAGTGGCAATGTGAGTGAGAAGTGCACGAGGCGGCTCGGTACCACCGGGTGCGGCGGAAGAGGGGGGCGTGCGTACCTCCATAGTAGCATAGTGAGGACGAGGGCGACTGCTACGACGATGAGTGCGCCTTCGACCGCTCTCTGTGGGGAACGTAAGCGCTCCGGACAGAGGGGCGGGATGTGAGCGCCGAAGACATACCTTGGTGTATATACTGTTGTCTGTTTCGCAGTTTACACACTCGTTGGGATCGTTGGTAGGAGAGGGGAAGAGCGGGGTGTCGCTGGTCGCACTTGCACTCGCGCTAGTAGTGCTCGCCGTGGTAGATCCACTGGTATACGAAGATACCGTCGAAGTGAGCGAGACGGAGCCTGCCTGGCGCGCTGCTAGTCGGGGGGCTCCCGCAGCGGAGCGCGGGGAGATCTGCGCTTCGGAATCCAGAGGCAAAGCGCGGACGCGGGGGTCGGGCATTTCGAGCAGCAAGCTTTCCCGCTTCAAGGTGTGGGTGTCCGAGACTCAAGGTTTAGGTCGTGCTCCTGCTGCAGGTGGGGGTGCGGGGAAGCAGGAAACCCATGAAGGCGGGAAGAGAGCACGTCGTGGTCGACGACGAAAAGGCGGCGCGGAGGAAGAGCGTGGACAGAGGAAGGGACGTAAGGACGTCGAACAGGCACTCAGGTCTCTCGAAAACATCCGACCTCCGCCAAGCGCAGCAGTAGTCACGCTCTGACCTCATGAGAGTGACATGATGTGACACATAGTGACCTTGGGTGACGGTGACGAGAAAGCTGGAGGAGGCGGAGGAAGAAGCGCCCACAACTGGCTCTCGACTATGTTGCCCACGGCGATTGTGCAGGGCGGCCGGTCTGCCTGGAAAGGTGAGTTGCGCTGCTGTGAGCTACCGAGCGGTGAGGATGCTTACAGACGTGTGCAGGTCCATTCTTCGTCGCGTTCCCGAACTTGCGCAAGGCGTTGGAGGAGAACATTGCCATTAAGACGCAGGCACGGTCGTGTACCATCCTGCCCAACTTCATTGGGTGCGTACCCTACCTGGGTCTGTCCTGTTTGGTGCGCTGAACGACTCGTGTCCATCCCCAGTCTTCGCTTCTTGGTCCACAACGGAAAGGACTACGTCCCCGTGACGGTGTCGCAGGATATGGTTGGGCACAAGCTGGGAGAGTTTGCCATCACGAGGAAACGGTTCACCTACAAGTGCGTCGCGCTATTATCTTCATCCTGGATGTATGCTGACGGGAGGGGTTTGGCAGAGCGACGAAGAACAAGTAGAGTGCTACGCTACCCTCGTCCACCCCGTCAGGGAGGCTGTATATATTCTATCCCACTGCTATCGCGTAATTTTCCCGCTTTCTATCTCCCCATCACACGCTACGGACGCGGGCTTTATCAACCCGGAAAAGACTAGCGCACTGCGTCAACCAGAATTTGACAGCCGCAAAGCTAGGGGCTGGTGCTGTAATACCGACTAACTCCTCCGTCCCCTCTTACATCCCCGTTCAGTATGCATCCCCTCAAGGTAAGCATGACGAGTTACGCCATACGACGGGTTGTACGCTTTCACATGCGCTAACACTAATAGACTATCGCGCTCTGATAGGATGCCCCTCGACGGCGCCATCATGTTTGCGAGAGAATGATCTCCACATTCCATCAAGGCGGTCAGCTCGGGCTGTGCCCCAGGACGGCGCAATGCTGCAGTGCAGGTCGCCGACGTGGTAATTTGCACCACGCCATCCGAAGGTGAGTTCCTGTTCCTTCATGGTCAGCAGCAGGTGCTGATGGAATGGCATGAACTCTAGAAGGTTGCGATTTGCATCCGTGTGGCACAAGACAAAGTCGCACCGCTGCGACTCCCACCAGATCAGCGACCTCGATGCTGCCCTGTCTTCTCGCTCGCGAAATGTGATGAAGTCCGCGCAGCCGTGCCTTCATGACAAGGCTGCTCATCTGTTGCAGTGGCGCGATGAGTCACCGTGATTCCGCGCAGACAAGACGAACGAACGACGGTGCGGGTCTTCCGCCAACACGGGCTCCGGAACGGCTGATCGTCACGGCTCTCCGGCCTCAAGAGTCGCACATCAACGATGGCTCGCACACCCGAACTAAGCCTCCAAACATTGCACGGGATGCGTTCCTGATGAGGCAAGGCCTTCGGGATGCACCTTGAGCTACACAGGATACGAAACGATGCATCAGCTTGACAGTTCTGCAGAAACTGGCAGTGCACGCGGTCCCACTGCTGTCCTCCTCCCGGAGCTCGCCTCCTGCCTCTGCGAGCCTCTCGGTAGTTGTGGTGTTTGGTTGAGCATGTGTAGGCTTGAACAGCGTGGTCTATCGCATGTTTACGTATGGTGTTCAGTGCGCAAAGATCCATGGAAAGCGGAAAAGAGGGGGCTTCGATAGGTTGCCGTGACAATAGTACGGTGCTCGGTTAGATCCGAGCGTTTAGTCACGGATTAGGAGGAGCCAATGGCCGCTTCCGGCGCAGATGGGAACATTTGCCTCCTCTCAAGGCCTCAAACAAAGCCAGCAGCGCCCTCAGCTCTCTCCCTCGACATCGCGCACGACGTTCACGTCGCTCTCGCCGACGACGACGTTCACGATCACGACTCCGCGCTTACGACGCTGACAAGAAACCTACGACCCGCCCATCGTTCATCTGTGTCACCGGCTTATCCTCTTCCTAATCGGTGTCCGGACTCAGCTCTCTTACCCATTCCCGCCCTGTCTCTCTCTCCGCTCACCTGGTCCCCCCACCCCTCTGCTTTCGCCTGAGAGGATCCCCGTGAGAGACCCAATTCAACATGGCGCACTACCAGGTCACCGCGACGTCGCTTACGCCCTCGCGCCCCGCGCCCGCCGCGCCGGTGCGGCAAAACAACGTGCAGAACGTGCTCGCCAACTCCGGCTACGGCTCCTCCTTCTCCGTCGGCACGTCCTCGCCCTCCAGCTCCGTCTACCGCGCGGACTACACGGGCATTGGCGGATCGCCGAATCGCAACTCGGACATGGTCAGCAGCTCGCACGTCGTCCGGAGCGGCGTCGTCGCCATCAAGGAGGACGGCATCGTCTC